GGAACAGAGCTGTCCATCACCGCTGTGGTCGACTTCAGCCAGAGCCCAGCCTGGGCAAGAACCAGCCTCTGCAGCTTTGCAGGCAAATTTACAGGGGATCCTTTCAGCTATTCATTTTAAATTTGCCCTAACACTAATGGTGTTGGTTTACTTTTTTTTTTTACTGCAATAACTCTAATTTTTCCTTCTCTTTTTGGAGCTGTGGGCAGGGAAACGCTCCCACTGCCACACCAGCGGCACAAAGTCTTGATCTCTTCCCCACGGAAGAATTCAAGGATGTGTGAAGTCACACGAATAACCAAATTCTCAGTTTCCTCTTCAGTCCCAGCAACGCTTTTCATTTTCAGTTAAAAACAATTAAAATAAACCTGCGCGTGACACACTGGTCCGAAGATGGCAATCTCCCAGTAACTGCTTATTTAACCCTTTGCTGAGCCAGGTGGAAACAGCTAATGCAGCAGGGAAGGGGGAGGTGGGATGGTGCAATTAATTTGTCCAAAATAACCAAGATCTGGTAATTAATTAGCTTCCAGGGACTCTGTGCATGCTCCCCGCCCAGGTTTTCCAGCAGGGTAGTGTTGGTCAAAGAGGCTGTAGCCCAACTGTGCTTTGAACTGGCCAGTTATCTCCTACAGCTGCAAATATGCTACGGGAAGAAATCTGTTTCCAGCTGCCCTCGACCAACACGGTTTTGCTCTCCCAGTCTGAAGCTTAACAGTTGGACTTGATGATCTTAAAGGTCTTTTCCAACCTAAATGATTCTATGATTCATGGTCCCTCGGGCACCACCACAGAGGTGATGCCCCCCTTCCCTGCACCCGGGGCTGGTCCCACAAGATATGGAGGAGAAGCCCTCAGCAGCCCAGCTCCACAGGCGTGGGTCCTTTCTGCCTGATTTTAGGCATCTGCTTGGGTTTTAGGGAGACTCACTGGGCTCCTCCCACAGCTCCGCTTCCAAAACACGTTGGCATCCCTCCAGCCGAGGGGATGAACAACGGAGCTGCCCTCACCAAGATGCCCTCCGGCTCCTACGTGAACCCTGATGGTTCCCAGCACAAACCTTGCCCACTGCAGGCATCGACAGCTTTTAAACATCCTTGTGCACAGCCCGTGGCAGAGGTCCCAGGCATCCGTCCACAGGTGTACCCCGCAGAGACCTCCTGCGCCCCGAGAAGACCCCTTCTTCCCAGATTCACACACACACACGTGCACACGCACACACACACACACGCACAAAGGCAAAGTCAACACGGCTGCTGCATCGTTGAGCCCGACTCCGTGCTTCGTGCCAAGTCGAGCATCACTCCTTGATTGTAACCGCTTAAGGCACAGAACAGTATTAAATGCCGCCCTGCTGGAGACGCCGGCTGGTCCCGCGACCTCCAGGGAGGGTTTGGTCCCCTTGTGAACAGGGACACCCGGGTCCCCCCAACTCTGTGGTGTGAGGATCATCCCCTCCGGCTTGGCTGAAGCCCGTGTCTGTTCCCCTGCGGAAGGTGGTGATGGCCACCGAGCATCTTGTTCCTCCGCTGCTCCCGGGGATGCCGCCAGCACTGCTGTTGTGCTGGGGGGGGGGGACAGATCCCATTCACTGCACTTTCCCCGAGAGATAAGTAACACAGCAAGGGGGGACAACCCCGACATCGCTGGCAGCAAGAAGGCTACTTGGTCCTAGGCCAGCACCCGCACAGTCCGGGAAAGCCCTTGCTCTGAATTCCTGGCGCTGACGGTCCTGAGCGCAGCTTGGAAATCCAACAACATGGTGGGTGCCGGGCCGGTGCCAAGCAAGAAGGGACCCATGGGGGCCACCGCCAGGACAGCCCAGGGTGGAGGTCTGAACCGCAGAGCCCAAAAGGGCACAGGGTCTGGCAGCCGCCCCCCTCCCGCCGGCGTTTCCCCATCCCTGCTGCCAGGGGCTCAGAGCCCGCAGTTGACGAAGGGGTGCCTCAGCAGGTCCTCGGCCGTCGGCCTCCGCTTCTCCTCCACGAAGATCTGCTTGAGGAAGTTGCGGCAGGAGTTCGAGACGCCGTCGGGGAGCTGGGGGTTGGTCGGCTGGGTGGCGATTTTAAAAATAGCCGCCATGGCTTCGAACTCTGCCCACGGCGGCTTCTCCGTTAACATCTCCACCACAGTGCAGGCCACGCTCCTGCAACAATGCCAAGCATGCAGGGGTGAGACAGCGGGTAAGGGACTGGGGTGGCTGTGCTCTTGAAGTCTCATCGGCTCTAGGATTACACCTGCCTGGAACAGGCTGTGTGGGGAGCAAACCCACGTGAGAGATGGGTACACGTCTCCAGTACGCGTGGACCCCTGAAGCTCACTGTTCACATGGGTCCTTGGCACGGGGCTCCCTGCTCCCACTAAGCGAGAGTGAACTTGCAGGTCTTGCTCTAAAGCTGGTGGCTTTTCTGCCTATGTTAGCAGGCAGATAATTAAGTTTCATAAAAGCACATGAGAGCCCTTATCAGAGCATGCCCCGAAGGCAGAAGTTGAGACACCCTGCTTTCAGCAAGAGCACATAGTTCCCCCAGAACTGAGACAGAAGGAAACGTGTTCACCTACATCCAACTTCATCTCTGACGTGCATCTGAGAAGGAACACATCAGATGAGCAGCAAGAGCCCGAGAGGTTTCCCTGTGCTTGCTGAGGAGCCCTTGTCTCAGCAGGGACCCTCTCTGCCACCTCCATTCATAGTTGCTCCTAAAAAATTGAACCCTCCCACCAGCCGGAGCAGACGGTGTAGGGCTGCCTGCTAAGGACTCCCTAGGTTTCCCCCCCAAGCCTCCGGTGGAGGGACTAGTTTTTGTTGACCCTACTTTGCACAGGCACCCAATGGAAAGCAGACTGGGAAAACAGTGCTTCCTCCCCATTTACTGGGAGGATTAATAGTGTTATCCCAACTCTTTTAGGCTCCAGCTGACATCTGTGGATCTCCACAGGTCAAAACATTCACAAGCAGCCAGTGACTTTGGTTGTCTTCATGCCTGAGCCATATGCAGGCACCCAGCAGAAGTTTCTGCGAGGCCACACAAGATTCCCCTGAGCCTCCAAGCTGGGTTTAGCTGACCTAAAATTAAAGCCACCAAAACTCAACAGATCTTTTAGCAAACTTTGTTATCAACCTGCTTTCCAGGATTAAAGAGCAGCTACAGGGTCGAGCTGCGCATGGCCCTCAGACATGATAAAAGCTTCCAAAAAGCAAGTTGTGATTTTGAGTGCTCTTGTTTTAGGACTTCCAGCTACAACATGCTCCCTCTGGGTATCTGCACAGTTGATCCTAACATTTAGCTCCCATTTCCATCCTTGGCATTGCTCCATCTTCCAACTACTAGCTATACCTGTTGCTCCCATTCCAACTTCCCAAAGGGAACATTTGTTTAAGTGGCAGTGGTGGGGTTTCTACAGCATTCCTTACCACACGTCAGCTTTCCTTCCATAGCCTTCTCCGCTGATAACCTCTGGGCTCATCCAGTATGGCGTTCCTGTGACAGATTTAATCCCAGTCCCAGACATGCAGATGGTCTGGATGCGTTTGCTGGCCCCAAAATCTCCAAGTTTCACATTTCCAGCAGAATCTCTCAAAATATTGGCACCTAAGGGTGAAAAGCAAAAGGAAAACCCCCAAGAGATGAAGCAGCAACCTGACAGCGAGGAGAGGAGAGGAAGGGCAAAGGCAAAGAGCTGGACATGAGGGAGCACTGAGAAGTCTGGACTCAGCATTATACAAAACCCACCTCTCCTAAGGCAGCTGCTCTCCAAGAGGGTTGACTCCTATCAGCTCTCCTGGATAGTTTCACTCAGCAGGTTTCCCAAAAGTGAGCAGTGAATGGGAGACAACAGAGCATCCTCCCCACATGCAGACAGCAGAACAGAGCCTCAGATCCCTCTGGATGCCCGGGCCTCTCAATTCTTGGGTACATTACACCAGGTTTTTAGATGCGTAGGGGCAGTTCACACTAATCCCTCCCAAGAGTACTTAATCTGGGCTTCCGAAGCAGGAAGACAGCACAAGATTTTGGTTTCAGCTGCTTGTTCAAGATTCTCATGGTTCAAGATGGCAAAGGCCAGGGGCAAAAATACTTTAAATACCAGATCCCAGCACCATGTTTTGCACAAAAATTTATATGGGGCTGAGGGGAGTTTGGGTTGAACAAATCCAAGCAAGCAAGAAGCCTCTCTGCTTTATCCACTCACCTTTAATGTCCCTGTGGACAATCATATTGCTGTGTAAGTAGAAGACTCCTTGCAGGATCTGCCTGGTGTACTTCCGTGTGACGTTCTCTGTCAGAGCGCCATAAGCTTTTAGCTGGTCCTTTATTGAGCCCTGTTGCAAAGAAACAACATGCACCAAATGTGAGGATCAGCAGAACCAGGTGCATCATGTCGCAGTGACTTCTTAAACTTTCCTGACCATTCTCTCTCCCAGCTTAAAAAAGCCACTCTGCTGTAGAAACAGCAAGATAAAAATATACAAGGTCTTGTTCCCAATGTCCCAGATCCCAGGGGAAAAAAAGAGATATGGTCTCTGGTGCATCTCAGTGCTACCTTCTGCCAACACTACAGATCTTTTTCCCCCTCTAGTGGCTGGACATCACCAATAGCTCATGGAGAAGGAGCAAACTGATGAGGAGTGAGTTGATTTCAAGTTCTCAAGCGAGAAGATCAACTCAACTAGTCCTTCAGGGCCAAGCTGATGAGTTAGTCTTCTATAAAGTCTCCCCCCACTCAACTTGTCACAGCAAGGACTACCCACTGCCATGAGGCAGACATGAGGGACACTGTCAGCCCCACATGGGACTGCTTCAACAAGACACCCTGGAAGTACCCAGCCTTGAATTTCTGACCCAGGCATGCAGGCTCTGACTGGTCTGATTTCATTGATCCAAGAGGGAAGGAAGCAGGGGTGCAGACATCCACCATCTGCAAGACACTGACCCCCATGGGTTTAACTATTTTCTGTCCACTTGGAAACAGATGTCTCTCACTATGCCAGAGCTGGGTTTTAGCAGGGATGAACCAGAGGCAGATTTGGGGTTCAACCAGAGAGGTTGCATCCAGTTCTGCTTCCAGCATTCAGGTTGGCTGAAGAGCAGGAGGGGAGACTCATCCTGGTTTTGCCTGTCCTGCAGCTCGGGGCTGATCCAAGATTTCCCTAGTCCTGCTCTTCTGGGAACAGGGGGATGTTCTGCTCCAAGTCAGTCACTCAAACTATATGAGCTTTTCCACATCCACCCACCTCTGCTGTTGATCTGTCCAGCTACTGTTTTGGCCTTCTTTTGAGGCTGGTGATGATCCTGTGGATGGCCTCTCCTTTCTCTTTCCCAGCGTTGCTGAAGTAACCCAAGATGCTCTGAAATTACCCCCTCATACAACTTGTATGCAGGGTATATTCCCTCACCCACACTTCGAACAAGCTTTCTTATCCTGGCCTCCCTCACCCGCATGAGGGGACACAAACGTGTCACTGAAGAAGGGGAAAGAGGGCCTTCAAGGCCTTTGGTCAAATAGACCATTCTGGTTTTCAAGCATAAGTTAAAAAAAAAATTAGTTTATGGGCAGGACAGAAAATACAGTCTCAGCTATTTAATGGGGGAAATCATAAGAATGCCAGGCTAACGGTGCACCCAAGCTTGGCCCCATGAAGATTTTGCCCAGCTGGCTGTGTTAAATCAGAAGCTTGACCCAGCACCGTGGAGCTGCTGTCCTGCAAGGTTTGGGAACTCATTCACTGCCACTGGCCTTGGAAACCAAAGCCCTGAGCTGCTTTTGTGAAATGAGCCGTTGTTGCAGCACAAAAGTCAATCTGTATTTGGTCAGAGCTCTGGTTTATCATTAAAAAAACAAACATTCAACTTCCAGCCCTGCTGGACACTGCCCCAGCATCAAATGTTGGTTTCCTGGCTGCTAACAAACATCAGCACCCTGCAGAATAAGTGGCAAGGGGACTGCTGAAACTCCTGGGGTTTACCCCTCTGGGCCCACGCCTCGTGGTAAGGCCTGGAAGGAAGATGCCTGCCCACAGGGAGAGAGTGAGGACAGGGCTTGGAAGGGACTCAAACGCGTGGAAGTCCACCTGATTACTCACGTGCAAGATGCGTTAGGAGAGCTTCTAGCATGTTTACTAATGACCAAAATTATTTGCGACCAGATGACTTAATAGTCCCTTCTGACCTTACAAATCTCTGTATAAACAAGGGTTTATTCTCCCACACTCTGGGGAATGAATCCAGCTGGACAGGCGGGACTTAGGAGACCAGATCCTCCAGCAATGTAAATAGGGTTATGCTAGTTTATACCAACCGATGACTTTGTCTAGATGGCTGATGTAATTCACAGGCTCTCAAACAGAGAAAGAGATGTTCAGCTAATCCGCATGCGTTCTCCAGCCCCTGCTTGGGCTCTCTCAAAGCTTTCTGATCTTCTTTTTCCCTAGGGCTATTTCATCCTACATCAGCAAAGTCACAAACTGAAGCCACTCCTGCACAAGAGGATAATGCTACCAACAAAGAGTTCTGTCCTGAGCAGAAGACTTACAAGTGAGTAACACTGTTTTTAATCCACACGTGCTGAAAGCCATAAATAACTGGTGACAGCTGTGGGTGGACAGTTGTACTATTAGCTTTTTCTGCAGGGATTTGCAATAAATACTTAAGGATGGGCTCAGGCCACAGTGTTTGGAGCCAGATCTGGATCATGTCCCACATTCACCAAGTTCAGATTCCAGACTGTGAACACACCCTGCTCCAGGATTCAAACCTAAAACCTGCCTTCAAGGCTTTTGATTTCACCCACTGCATGTTGAGGGGCTTCATCATGACATCTGATTCACAACCAACAAATCCAAGCTTTAGGGATGCATCCACTGCTTTGTTTTAGCTCATCAGATATAGAGCAGCTCAGCTGAACAGCTTAACTCCAGATCCAAATTTCACCAAACTCCAGGGCCATCTAAATCTGTCCTCTGTCTCTCAGGATAATCTTTAGCAGGAACCACACTTACCCCTGGCATGTATTCAACAAAGATAGACAGTTTCTTCTCCTCAGGATCCCGCAAGCACCCATAGTACTGCACTATCCTGTCATGACGGAGAGTCTTCAACAGCTGAATCTCACATTCTAAGGCATTCACCTCCTGCAACAAAACAGGCATGCTTCGTGATGAAAGGGAATGGTTACTTTGGCAATATTATCCAAATATTGCTCGATGCTGAGCACTCTTTTCATAGCACCTGTGAAGCTGCCCACAAGGACATCAGCCACGTAAGGCTTTGAAATGAGGGGTGCTGCCCTAAGAATAGAATAGTTCAGTTGGAAGGGACCTAGAGTGACCATCTAGTCCTACTGTCTGAGCAATTCAGGGCTGACCAAGAGTTAAAGCACATTATTAAGGGCATTGTCCAAATGCCTCTTAAATGCTGACAGGCTTGGGGTATTGGCCACCTCGCTAGGATGCCTGTTCCAGTGTTTGAAGAAACGGGTAAGGAGAGAAAGAGATGGGATACACAAGGGCTTGGATTTGAGACAGGTTTACTTATTTTACTTTTGTTCAAGGAGTTTTTCTGGAAAGGTGTGAATGAGGACATCAGTAAAGCTAATGTGGAACCCAGAGCAGGAAGGTGGTGAAGGGAGCAAGAAGGCTGAAACTAAGGAAGAGCAGACAGGCCTGCAAGAGATGATACCCGAGACAGAGCGGCCCAGCATGACCAAGGAACGGGGAGGTAAAGGAGTCACCAGAGCATACTGACTGGTGCCACAAGCCATTGGGGATCACACCAAAGAGGGTAAGCAACACACACTGTCCTCACTGTTTAGTGGAACACTGGAACAGGTTGCCCGGAGAGGTAGTGGAGGCCCCATCCTTGGAAACATTCAAAACCAGGTTGGATGGGGTCTGAGCAACCTGGTTAAAGGTGTCCCTGCTCGCTGCAGGGAGGTTAGACTACATGACCTCTAGGGGTCCCTTCAAACCCAAAACATTCTATGATTCTATGATTCTACCCACTGCCTTCCATCAGGGACACAGACCCCTCACCGCCACCTCTCCCCTCAGCCTCCAGCCCACAATCCCCCAACAAGCTGCAGAAGGCAGTCCTGCCCTCGTACTCACTTTACTCGTCTCTTGACTGTCAGGGTCAAAAGGCACCTGTTTCACTGACAGCTCCCGGCCGGTGTCGGCATCATAGCAGAGATAAACTTCCCCAAAAGCTCCTCTTCCAAGCAGCTTCCCCAGCCTCCAGTTCACAGGTGCCTGCAGGGCTACATGAGAGAGAAGAGGGCTGAGAGAAGAGCACAGCAGGGAGACTTCAACATCAGGGTCCATCTGACCCTACAGAGTGCAGATCAGGCTTGCAATGAGCTCACTAAGCAGCGAGCCACCCTCTCCCAGGGGCACCACAATAAACCAGTTTTAATTGCATGAGTGCTACTGGTGTGTGTGGATGATGTTTCCCAGTCTGCATTAGTATAAAGCAGAAACAAGTCCCAGAAAAGTCACGTTTCTTTTAGAGTCCTTCCTCTAGAAACTGTTTTCTTAACCAACGTTGAACTTTCCTCTGCTATAGGAGCAGTCAGCAGGATACAGCACAGCTGAGCATCAACCCAGGCAGGGACCAATAAAGAGTTTTATCTCACTAGTCATTTCTAGGTTGTTATCCATCACTGAACAGGCCCAGAATGAGCAGATTTTTACAGTATGGGCAGTCTCGCAACACCAGAGCAGCCTGCAAAACCTCTGGACCTATTTGCTCCTGCACCCCAAGCCTCCTGGAAGTTTCTGCTGTGCAAGCATGTTGACAGTCCAAGACAAAAGCAATTTTGTGCGATTCAGCAAGTGATGAAAACCAGCTGACCCCACATGCGCCCTTGAGTTAAGGCCAAGGTAAGACACAGCGTGTTGTATTAAATCCTCCTGATTGAGATGTAAGCTAGTGCAGTGTGCCTCATGTTGGGGATGGAACCGGGGTGCATTCACACATGGTTAGCTTAGCTGATGCCCAGTTACTCAGCAGGTGACGGTAACTCAATTTTGTGTCGAGAGCCAGATGTACTGAGACCTCACACACCAGAGCCTTTGATTCACTTACAATTCCTAGCTTTCGTAGGGGAGGTGCTGAAGACCTGCAGACCTTTTTCACAATTATTCCACCATTTGGGCCTGTACTCGTCGTACTGCAAGGTGCTGAGCTTGCTGTCCCCATTAAAGCTCTTGGTTCGGCTAGAAGGGACAAGCTGAAACAGGTTCTCCTGTGGGAAGTAACTCCTGGGGAAAGTCCTCCGGCCTGTAGGAGAAAAGGGGGAGAGTTATGGCAAGAATGCACACATCAGCTTGGATCTACCTATCACCACCTTCTCACATCGCTGCCCGATCCAGTGATGTACCTCTTCAAAGCGAGTTTAATGAAACTGAAGCAAAGCCCTGTGAACGTTTTTAATTCAATTTAAGAGTTGTTAACAGTAGGCATTACATCTAATGCAGATGTTTCCAGAGGGGTTTGCAACAGTTTAATTACATTAGGGTTTTTGTCGTTTGTTAATCACAATTAAACTCTGAACAGGCAGGGATTTATACTGCAAATTATTCCTGCAGTTCCCCAAGACAACGCTACAAACGACCACACAGCAATGCCAAATCTCATAACTGCTTGCACAAGGTGGTGTCAGTGAGAGATGAAGTTCATTCTGGAGGACGATATGCTGTCCTCGAAACGACCACACAGCAATGCCAAATCTCATGATAACTGCTTGCACAAGGTGGTGTCAGTGAGAGGTGAAGTTCATTCTGGAGGACGATATGCTGTCCTCAGTGTTTTTTTTTTTCCCCAAGGGAATTTGATCCTTATTCAGTTTTGCCTCCCACCACTTGCAGTCTCATATAGCAAAAGAAGGAGCAGCAACAAGGTGATGGAGTGGTCCCCAAAGCCCAGAGCTCACCAGCTTAAAACGGAGAGGTGAACAGATACTGCTACCCTGAAATTGCTGAGGGATTTTGTACAGCTCTGAGAAACCTGCAGTAAAGGTCACAAGCCAGCATCCTCAAATGCAAGCAGTTTAGGGGAACAGAAAGGTTCGATATCGCCAGGGATGAGAAATGCTACCCATCCACGTGGCTAAGTTAAAACACTAGGTATAAGCAGAGGAAGAGCTGAGCACTGACTTCCATACATGCTGTAGATGCTCAGCACTTCCCAAGAGCAGACCAGAAAAGTCTCACAGAGTATGGTCTTCAGAATATGCAAGTGAATCCCAAATTAATTGGTGGTTCTCCTTTTATTAGAAAATCCTCCTTCCTAAGTCTCTCCAGCCCTAGGCACTGTCACAAGGCACCGGTATCCTGGACCAAGCACCTCCCTCCCCGATCCTCCATCATTTTCTTACCATCACTGTAGTCCTTGCGGCTTTGGGAGAGGTGGTACTGCCTCGGGAAGGTCCCACCTTTCCCAAACCTCTCACAGAACGGGATGTCAAAATCTGTCAGGAGGAGGAAGAGACGTTTCTGAGATCAGTTCAGTATCAAGTGCCCAGAGCATTTCTTATGGGAAAGCACTGTGGTGTTCATGCTAAATTACAGGCAAGAACAAGGTGACAAGCTGTTCATTTACACAGCCATACGTTCCCCAAGGCTCACTCTGAAATCTGTCCACTGTCACACACTCCTTAGTGGAACATAAGGGTTAAACACACTGGTCTTGGCCTGCCTAAAGCAAAGAGGTTTATCTCCTGACTTTATGGACACTGGCTCACACTGTTCAAATACCAGACAAGGGATTAACATAGACCATGCCTGATTTCCAAGACAGAGCATTAAACATCTTATTTGCACACAGAAAATACAAGAATTAGCATGGAAACAGAATTGCCAGGCAGGGTCAGGCCCAGATCCATCTATTTCAAAACCTCTACTCTGATATCAGCTTTTTCCAGGGAAATGCAAAAATCCAGCACTTGGCTAACACTGGTCAGTCTATGTCCTCTTTCTTCTCAGAGGCGACTCCTGATCTCTGAAAGCCAGAGACCGATTTATACCCCCAGAGCTCCAAACTTCTATATTTACATCGATTAAATGTTAGAAAGACAGACTTAGAATATACAGACGGGATTAAAGACCACCAGAGTTTAGCTCGGACACGAGATGATGAGAGAGATGGATGGACGTGAGAGATAAGGACATATTTTTTTTTAATAAAAAAAAAATGCAGCACAGAAAGCCATGACTGGTAGCACTGAATAACTTGAGATTAAAATATCTGTCATTTCCCCCCCATCTTCCACCTCCTGTTTCTCCTCCATCCAACTCTAATGACACAGTCCATTCTGATTGTTTGTTTGTCTTAGCCTGAGGCCAGCAGCCGCTCCTCGGAGACCATTCCTGGCCTCGGCTGTGCTTCAGCATGATTTCCCCATTACAGCAGTGTGCAAGAGGAGCACATAACGGCTGAAATATGGTCAGCAAGAAAAGGAACAAGGACAGGTCAAGAGGATCTCAGCAAGCCACGTGTGAGCAACGATTCTGAGTGGTGTCTCAAAGAAAAATGCCTCCCCTACCACTAGGGATGTATTAAAACCTTCGGCAACATGAACTGACTGCAGCTTCATCCCTACATTTCAATCTAGAAATCCTGCCTTAGGCCAGAAATGAGTTATCATGCTACAGGCTGACTGCCATTTGTTCATTTTTAATAGTGAAAGTCATTACAATATTACAGTTTCCATGATTTAACCAGCTGGATGTTTATAAGTGATTAAGCAGTAACCTATGATCCTTGCAAGTTACCAACACACTTTCTCTAACAGCATTTTTATTATTAATTTTTCTAACAGATTATTATTATTATTAATGAAAGTGGAAGAGGTATAACTCCCTAGAGAGTCTGGGACTTGGGTTTTGCTGTGCAGGAAGTTGGGATCCTGAAAGCGCAACTAACCAAGACAAAAGATGATGCCACGAGGCTGATCCCAGCTTCTCAGCACCTTCCAGTTGTCTCCAAATATAAAAGCAAGGCTCCCTCAGCACCTTCTTCCAACACAGAGCTCATCTCTGATCTTTCAACAGATTTACTTGCTTGCATTCTTTTGCTTCAGGGCCATTGCTACCCAGTTTGGACTGTTGTTGCTGTAAACTGATTCCCAAATTAGGCCCAAAGGTTCTTCACTATTGCTGCAGAGCCAAGAAGGGTTAATGGTGACAAGAGCAGCCCTGCCTGTGTTTGATGCTCTGGGTCTTTTAATTTTAGAGAACACTGATGTTTGATCATCGCAGGGTCATTTTTGCAGTATAACCTAAGCAACAGAGCTGATTTGCTTGATTGTTTTTAATTACTTTTCAGGTAGTGCCACCCCTCTAATAGCCTTTATCCAGTTTCTTTGTTACAAGCTTTTTATACTTTTAAGCAAATACAAATTTCCAAGAGTGCTTACCCATGCAGTCAAGACTGTCTTTGGGATGGCTCTTCCTTCCAGGAACAGGGGTTTGGGTAAAGGGAGGGCTGCAAAGGGATGAGGAAAAAAAAAAAAAAATACACTTTATTATATCAGATGCTCTGGGGAATGAATTAGGAAGTGACTACACGCAGAAAGCACAGGCTATACCACAAGACGCCCTGATCACTGATCAGCCCAGCCTACCCAACTAAGCTCCCATCCTCGACCTGCACAAGGATGAAGTTTTTTTTTTTTTGCTGGATCACAGCCTGTTCCTGTGGCAAACAAAAGAAATGCTGCAGAAAACACAGTCACCAGGCTGAAATGAAGCAGCCGAAGATCGTACCATAACACCTATGCACAAGACAGCACAGAAGCAGGGATGCAGATTTCTCATACTTCAACGTCAGGTATTCAACCACGCGACTGCTTTCTGTGAGCACTGCTTAGCTGCTGCAGATGTACACACCGGAGTCCTTCAGTCACGCTTGATTCATGCAGTTCTCCCCTTCCCCACATCATCATCCCCACCTTCCTCATGCAGGAGGGTCCGTGCCACCGCTGGGCACACACATCAACCCAGGAAACCAGCAGGGAAGAGTGGTGCTTCAAGGCTGAAGGTCTTTAAGTTACATGGAGAGGATGAAAAACCACTGCAAGAGTATCTCAGCAATCCTAATTTCACCTCAACCTCTGTAAGGGCCAACAGGGTGACCTGGACAGGTTGCTTTTCCACTCTCTTTTAATGAAATGGGCACAGTAGTGGAAATCTGCTTTGTAAAGTGCTCTGAAAGCTACTCATGTCAAAGCTGATCAGGAGAGGTTTGCTATGGTGAAGAGGAATTTGTAGTGTTATTTCTTAGCATCAGACTTGTCACCATGCCAGCTGGCTAGCTCTGCCCTCTTGAGGCTAATGCCATCTTAAGCAATTGGCAGCAACGGCTCAGCTAAGTCTTTGCAGGAGTAGTCACGCTTACTCCTCTTTCTGCCTTTGAAGAATGTAGCCCTCCTCATGCCTTTTCCAGCTCCTAGACCCCATGACTGAACACAGCTGCCTGCTTCTTTGTATGTGAAACCAAGCCCTGCTACCCTCTTGCAAACCCACTTAATGCTCCTCTCTTGGTTCACAATAAAGCCTTACAACCAGGTCGTGCTCCTTCTGTTGTTCTTCCTCGCAGAGCCTACGCAAAAGCGAAGCTAGGGCATTGAGGCTGGGAGCACAAGGAATCCAGCTTCAATACAGCCGTAACAATGAGCAAATACATCACAGGAAATTATTAAAAGCCACAAAAAGGAAATGGACCTCGGTGCTGAGACAGATCCAAAGTGCACAGAGCTGCAAACCTGAAGCATGCTACACAAATCAACACAACGCAGACCTGCTGGAACGCAGCCGTGATGCTGTATGGCAAAAGCAACGGACGAAAAGAAAACAAAAAAAAAAGAAAACCTTTGATACGGATGGAAAAACAAATATATGTTGCTTCCCAAAAGGACACTGTGTCTTATACACAGCCTACCATGCACAGCAGCAAACGTACAGTTGCTGTGCACGTGTGAGCTTGGGCCATCCAGCCACACCAACTATTGAACTGCAGCCTGTGTTAGTACAACGTGTGACACATCTGTGGCTGCTAGCAGTGCATAGGGGCTGCCGAATTTACAAGCAGTCAATGGAGAGCAGACAGAGTGCCTGGGGAGGAGGAGGAGGTATGGAGAGGCTAACGGAGTATCGACCCGGTGACTGCAGAAAGCCAGGGGGATAGGAGAGGGATCTGACTGAAGCAGAAAAATGGGGTACACAAAGCCAGGGTGCCCGCAGATCCCCAGCTACTTGCCCAGCTCAGATTACCACAATTCAAATCATACCATCGCACAGAAGTCTGTGCTAGGATCTGGTGTTTAGCATTTGGGACAAATTTGGTTTTCTCAGGTGCATCCTCATCCCAACAGGAACCTCAGGGGATGCCACTGACCCCGCTCCTCTCCCACTACGGAGCAGAGGTTGCATTTCAGCTTGCGCACACGGTGACCTGCACGACTTACCTGTCCACAGATCTGTCCAGTGACTGGCAGCTCCCAGACAGAGACTCATCGGGGCTGATGAAAGCTTCAAGCATCTGACAGTAAAAGAAAAGGGAAAATAAAACAACCATGCACTGTAGCTCTTCGCCCTCCAGTACTAGCAGACCTCTGAAGGGTCAACAAGGCTCCACCGAAGCCAGCTGATTTACACCAGCTGATGCCAGCCCCAGTAGAGGTGAGATCCAATCTAACAAAAGTTTTCTTCCCAGTGGAAATCCATTTACGATGCCCTCCCAGGATTATTGTTCTTTCCAACTGCTATTTGCAGGGAAACCGAGGCAAATATAATTAGCACCCTGATGTTCAAACCATGCTGAGAAGTCAATAAGACTCAAAGTATTTGTGAAAAAAATAAAAATAAAAAAATCAGGACACCAATGATGTGCCCAAGGCCAAGGGGATATTGTGCGCCATAGCCAGGATTGCAGCCCTGGACTCCTGACTTCCCCAAGCTGCCCTGGCTCATGAGACCGGCCTTCCTCTCCGGTGATAAGCGAAGCATCATCAGGGCTTTTGGCTGGAGGAACCAGCTTGGCTCTCACTAGCTCAGTGAGTCAAAAGCTGCATTTGTGTTGCTTCCTGGATGAAACATTGTACTGGATGGGGTTATTTATAGCTGGTTATTAACAATAGAGGTTTTGTATTGAGTGGCAAACCTAGGGGCTATATGCACTCCTATGTGGAGCAGAGCTTGCTCAGGGCCACGCTGTGCTGCGGTCGGTATGATGCTTCCTCCTGGCTGCAGACCCACTGTGGACACTCGCTAACCCCTACTCCACAGCCAGCCCCAAATCCAGGAAAGCTGAGCAACGAGGGTTAAACACCACGTGGAGTCTCCCTTCGCAGGCTCCCGGACCCATGTTGCTCCTCCTTCTCCCTGTACAGGAACAGCCTCCCTTTCCACGTGCTGTTTCTGCATTAGACCTCCTCAACCGGTTGTCATAACAGCTCGCATTGTTTTGGCAGGACAGTCCCAATTGGAAAGTGAGATTTTTCTCTGCTTCCCAGTTTTTACCCCAAAGCCTCATCCTTCAAAGTGCACCAGCCAAAGAGGAACAAGACCCCTGATAGACCCCACTCTGCATCTCTGCCAGCCATGTCAGGTCTCTCCCAGCAGTGAAAATAATGCTGAAATGGACTCATTTCTCGAAAGCATAGAATTGGGAATCCAAGCAGGCTCCACACTCAACCTCTGTCCATCTGCCAAGCTGGTCTCAAGGCAAAGACCGCAGTTATATCACAGGCTTGCATAGGGGCATCCCCCAAAAGGCAGCAAGTGCTGGCTTGTAAGTGGTTTTCCATGAGGCATATATGGAAGCTGCAGCACGAGGACGTTCTGACAGCAAAGCCCATATGGGGAAAAGCATGGCTCCTCAACAAAAAGGGGAAAAAAAAAATCCAAACACCTCCAAATCCCCTTTTTCCTGCATTTAACTTGCCGGAGAAGGGCAGCAGGCCACCCACAGCGTGATGCTGGGGAAAAGCGAGGAGAGCATCTGGGAACCTTCATCAGGAGCAGGCTCAGAGCTCGGCTAGCGCTGAGGGACCTCCATTAGAAGCCAGCAGAGCTGCACTGATTTACACCCAAGAGGGGGTTCATGCAGGCCCTCCCCCTGCACGCACACACAATTTGTCTTAATCCTACCAAACGTGTTTGGAAGGCATGTGAAAACAATAGAAAGGCAACTTTTGGCTGCAAAGAGCACAAGATACATCTGCACTCTGACACTGCCAAGACTCACCCAGAGTGACTTCTCATTTTATTAATGGCTGTATAATAAACTGTTGAAAACACAACTTTGCCATGGAAACACTGGCACAGCCTGCACGCAAAAGCAGAGCTAGTGGGTGCTATTTGAGTGTAGGAAACACACATCTCCCTAGGCAAGATCCCTGGTGGCCTTCACAGCAGCCTGCTGGGGTGAACTTGGTACCTTCCAGATGTCCCTTCTGCAAATTGTGGATCCTGATCCTGCCCTTCCAAGAGGTTTGCAAGAATGAACTGTCTGCCCAGTTAGCCCAGCTGACTTCAGAGGATCTATACTAAGGTCTTTGGAGCTATAGCCTGAGCAGAGATGCAAATGGAGAGGGAGGTGTAAGCTGCTCCTACTCTGGTCCCTCAACACTCCAGAGTTTCACCCATTGCGGGTACCAAATTGACTGGAGGAAGAGAGGTATTGCTCATCACTGTGCTGAAGAACTAGCTGTTCTTTTATTACGGAGGGATTGGAATATACAAACTCCTTATTAAGACAGGGGAAAAAAAAATATATGGGGGAGGGACAGAGAGACAAAACCACAGAGAGAGGCTGCAGGCAGAGCCAAGAACTGTAGCCGGAGCTCAGGCAGAAACAGCACGTGGGAAGCAGCGAGAGCTGCTGACATCCCCAGGCTGTTGCAATCCCAGGCAATCGGTTCCTTGGCACAATCCCTTGTGGTCCCTGGGATCTGGGAAGGCTGCAGCCATGAGGGCCCGGCAACTGGCGTGCATGTGTGTGCCATATCTGTGCTCCTCCAGAGCTACCTGAGGTGTCTGAGCACATTGCCATCACCACTGCAGCTGGCTTTTAGGGTTCCTGGAAATTGGGCCTGCTGTTTCTTGAGCATGTCAAGCCCGGGGGTACCCATTCCTGGAAAACAGCTGGCCTGAGCCCTGTATGCAGGGCCCACTGGAGATTTAATGGTGGGAATGGCGCTCACAGCACAGTCTCCCCCATGCCTGAGATGCTGTCCTGGTTTAACCCACACACCCTGGCCCCACTTACATTCTGATCCATGGTCTCGGGGATGAACTCGCCCTCACTGTTGATGCTGGTATAGGATCCCTGGCGAGCAATCTGCTGCTGCTCTTCAGGAACACTCCCTGGGGGCGGAGAGCTCCGGCCAGTGTGCAGAGAGCCTAGGACACAGGAAAAGGTATGGGTCAAGGGGAGGACTTGCCACATCCAAGTCCACCCAGAGATGCTGTGCCAGTGACCACAGACCTTCTGGAGATGCTGCTGGGTTTGAACTTGTGTGGAAGGGAACAGAGGAGTTAGAGATGCGATACTCTTTACAGGCATCCTATAAAGCTTTTGCAACAGGGACAGTTTGTTACTGTGGGGCCACACAACATCTAGCAGACTTGGCCTTGAACCTACCCTGGATCCTAAAAGCTGTGTGTTGTATCCAGGTGCTCTGTCAACACCAAAAAGAAAAGGGCTCCAGAGTTTTGTTGTGATACAATCAGGCAATCTCAGAGCAAAACACAAATCCAAACCCACCTGCCCCTAGGCTTTTCATCCCTGGATCACGTCCCTGCCTTGTTCAGTGATCTGGGAAACAGCCCAGGTGAACTTGGTGCAACATCGCTTAAACTTTACGGAAAACAACTTGCACTCAAATACCCCTCTTCTCTCCCCCTTCCCTATACAAAAGAGGAAGGAAAACCAGCCCTCAAATCCAAGAATCACAGGGAGAGGAAAGACCTATGGGATCAGCTCATCTCATCTCCTGCCCAGGGAGGGTTGTCTCCCCTGCCTGTAGCCCCAGAGGCTCCACGCCTGCAGCTGGCAGAGCCCGCACACCAGGCAGAGCCCCCTTGGAAACCCCTGGGGCTTTGCAGAGCATCATGCGCACCTCAGCACAGGGAGCAATGCTTTCGCCCCCCACCAGGACTGTTTAGCAAAGGGCATTTCTATTTTGCACCTGGGAGAGAACTCCACAGCTTCTTTTCATCAACAGCCTCTTCCTCCCCATTATTCCCCCAAATCCACCCTAACTGATTCCTTGTGCCTTTTCAGGAGTTAGGGAGCATTGCCCTCATTTGGCCCAGATGCACAGATTGGCTCCACTTGTCTTTCTGCAGTCCCTCCCCTCCATCCCTGGGCTGTCATCACTTCATGGCAAGGAATTGCTGACAGAGGTCCCTGCTGCTCCGCACCGGAGCTTTAACCAGTTGGTATTGTGCAATGTGAGCCTTCGCACCAACACAACAACTTACTTTTAGGCAAACTTCTAAAAAAGCACACATCCTCAAAGAGTTAGAAAGCACATAGAAACGTGCTGCCTTACACTTCCCCACTTTTGTGGCACTCTTGCCAACTCTTTGGTTCGTCACTACCCTTTGGTAACAACATGCCCAGGCTTAGCACAACACAGCAAGAGAAAGATACTGAGAAGGGGCTTGTCCCATCGTGAAAAGTCCACGCTGATCAATCAACACAGCACTTCTGCCTCTGCACTTCTGCATCACAGCGATCATGCCAGGCTGATCTCTGGCATAAAACTGTCAGCATGATCAACACTTCAAGTCCAAGTCCCCACCTTTCACTCAAGCTGATAGGCATCACGAGCTGCTAACGTTAACAGCGTCACACCAGCGTTAAAGATCACTAAATCAGGCTTGCTGGATTGATACCAAATACATAGATATTTCTGTCCCCACGGTACGTCTCCCTCCAGACTCCTTGCTCAGATTGTAAAAATAAAAGTCATATGGCTTTGAGTTAGTTACTTTTTTTTTCTTCTTCCTATTTTCTCCTTCACAGATTTCCTGCAGGATAAGAACGCAGCAAAAAAAAAAAAAAAAGCCCAACTGAAGTAACGCCAAGATCAGGGGGAGAGAATCTCTCGAATGCTCCGGCGCTCATAATGAACTGGCTTTGCACCAGCCCTAAAAACAAAACCAGTTGGGAAGTACGGCATCCTCTCTTTGAAGATAAACAAACAAATGTTTAACCATTTAACAGTTCGGGCACTCTGGATAAACCACTGCGTTATCATCCCCTCATTTGCTTAGCAGATGTCAATCCAGAATGCAGCATAAAGACATTAGGGTGGCTCTTGCTCCAAAAAGCTGCTAGAGGATCTGATGTGGTGTAACCGCTCTATCTTAGCTCTGTTGAACATTTTTGTTACTGCTACTAAGAGGTGTGGGTCTGCTCGTGCAGTGCTGGGATCTCTCGCTGCAACAACCCACCACTGCCCAGGAAGTCTTCAACTCGGGTTTTCTTCAACTCGGGTTTTACAGAGAGCTGTACATGCCCTGTTTAATTTTGAACCCAGGGAGTTAAATGAGATTTATCACAAGCGTAAAGACTTTGCATGATCTCACATTAAGCCTTTGCCTGTAATAACTACTCCCAGTCATCAGGTCAGTTGTGATTGACCTTCCAGAGTCACATTTCCTGCCAAAAACTGTAAAAGGGAATAAGACACTAGCCATTTCCCAGCAGGCAAGGAAGTTAAACAAAACGCTCAGGCTTTTGCACGCCTGGAAACTGCTGGATAGAACCAGATCCCTTTCAGCCAGGCTGTTCGGGCAGAAGAGCTGCTCTAAGTAACTTATGCAGCTTCACACCTCCAGGAGTACTTGCTGCTGCTTCACATTCATGAATGCCTATCCACCCAGGAGGAACATGGGGTGGTGCTGGGAGCAGAGCCCCAGACCCCAGGGTTGATCCCCCCTCCAGCCTTATTCTGCCTGGTTAACAAAACCTCAGGAAATCTCAGTCTGCTGGTGAGAAGGAATGGAAAATAGGGGTCGGTGGTGCTCAATGGCAGGCTTAATTCATAGTGGAGGCCACACAAGGCGTACTGGATATATTAGATAATGCTGCTTTACCCACCCAGAGGCAGAGGAAGAAACGGACAGACAAGCCCAGACTTGCCTGTTTGACACAACACAGATGCTCTCCACACTTGACCTAATACTCAAGAAACAGCAGCAGCACCAAGCAGAGAGAGGAGACCCCCAAGGGACTGTCCTCCTGGGGTCTGCAGGATTACATGTCAGCTCCAGTCCTCAGACCCAGAGGGGATGGGGCAGGCTCTGAGGCACTTCTTCATAAGCCAAATGCTGGCTGGATCTCAACAGCTCTATTCAGGATTCCTGAACTCAGAGAAACTCTGCAGGTTGGCACCAGTTGAGCATCTGACCTTGGTTACCCTTTAGAGCAAGGTGCTTTGGGAAGGGATTCCTGCTCCATGTTACACGCGCTAATGTAAAGACATACATTTGAGACTAGAGCACAGCATGTCCTGAGCAGAGTGAACCAGGCCAGCACGGAGACCTACAGTCACTGCTGGCATCTACTGGGGTCTTTCATGTTCCCTTCTGTTATTTTTATTTAAGAAGTGTCTTTCATGCAGTATGTGCAGAGTTCATGGTGCTGCATGTACAGCCAGCTCCCCTGTGCCAGGCTTGGCTTCACTCCACCTCCACGTTCTCTGGTTTTACCCTTTCCCTGCCCTGGCAGGTCCTTCCCAAAACTTCATCCACCAGCAATCAGCATCAAGCAGGGGTCCTGATAGAGAAGTCCCTTAAAAGTCAGAGCTGGGGAGGGTTTGTTGGCAACCACCTACGCTCACAGCTGCAGCCACAGAGAGCCCAGCCCTAGGATGACATCGCTGCAGAGCTGAACGAGGGACATGATGTCAAGATGTGCCGTTCCTCTGAGCCCTGGCAGAAACACGGGGCTCAGGATTCAGCAGCACAAGAAGTGATAAACCTGCAGGAAACTTCTCACTCTGTGACTGTCAAGAGGAGGTGTGAGAGGATGGACCACATCCCCCTCAATTTCTTCTTTTTCAGTGGGACCTCCTCTCCATGCTGATCCTCTGAGGATGGAGTCCTACATCTTGATTCAAGGAAAACCTTAGCGTACTTCTATACTAATAAGCAGGAAAGAGCCCATTTCCTAGACCTAAAGCAGCTGGCATGATGCACACAGCCAAATTCTCCTCCTCTTCTCAAAACAGAGGGGGTCTCATCCATCACAGCTCCTGCAACAGGTCCCTAGCCCATGCTACCCCAACTTGTACAAGGGCAATGCTGGGACAGCAGTCATTGGTACAGGGTTGGCCAGGCAATGTGCTAATGATTAAGAAACTCCATCAATGGCCAGCCAGTGCTCGTGTCCCAGCCCTGTGAATTTATTGGCACAGATATCACCTCCAGGCCTTCGTTTCTCAGAGTCATCTGGCCAGCCTGTGCACCAGCAAACTCTTTGTGCCAACTCTCTCCAGAGATCTCCATTCAAATCCTCCCCGTGTGCTAGCAGGGGTGAAATGCTGCTTCATGTGTTGTTCAGGCATCCATGAAAACCTGAGTGCCATCACTGCAGCAGCAATTCTCCTGTTCCCATGGCCAGTCCATATTTGACAGCAGGGACCCTGCCAGCATTCGCTCCTGGACTGGAGAGGGCTGGCAGGCACATGATGCCACAGCTCAACAGCCTGGTTTGCCACCGTGGAAAAAAAAAATAAAAAAAAAGCTTTTGGCAAATGTTTTCACTGAAATTGTGATTCTGGAATGGAGTTCTTGAATAATTTGTGGATAATGTTCTGAAACGTGTATTTCCTCAAAGTAAATAAAAACAACCCTCAGTTTTCTGAAAATCCAGAACCCAAATAGATTTTAACCAAAGTTTCCTGGCACTCAGCTGAACATTTGCAGATGCTGGTCACCAAGAGACTGGAAGATTTTCCACTTCTTCCCCCTCAAAAAAAAAAAAGGGGGGGATTTCCACTGAAAAAGTTTATGGGGGAAAAAAAGAAAATATTGACTTTGCATAAGGTTTTTCAGGGACATGGAGTGAAGACATTTTCTGTTCAGCAGAAGCAAAAATAGCCAAATCTTCCCTAGAACATCTACCCCCCTTCCAAGGTGCTTGTGCCAACAACATGCAGTTTTATTATTTTTCACTGCTGCTAACATGGCAGAGTCAGCATAAAAACACGAGACAGCTCAGAAACACTGAGAACATGACCCTGAACCACCTTTATTTATAAAGTCACTTTAAATCTCCTTATAAATGTGGTTTCAAGAGAAAAGCTGAACTGAGTTAAGAGCCTCTCTTGATAGCAACCACTTTGATGACAGCAGAAGCAAACACTGAAATACCATGCAACTGCAATTGAAGAATAGTTTCTCCTACAGAAATCCCAGCCTCTTAGGCTGCCTTTTGACCATCCACCAAGTTCAGTGAAATCCCTGGTTCAGGAAACCACAACACAGGATCATCTCTGTCTGTCTACTGCCTTTCAGTTCCATGCTCCATTTGAAACACTGCTCTCCCTTTCAGCTCACTAGAGTTTCTGCCCAGCTGCTAGATTACCCCATTCTGACCCAGGAGGTCAAAAACACCCCTGAACCTGCTGGACTGCAAACACCTCCTAAGCCAGGCTGTAGTAGCTTCATACAGACCCCAGATAACTCCAAAGAGAGGTCTGGCATGCTCTTACCAAGCAGGGGGTTTGTTGCAACCTCTTTTCAAACTAGGAGCAAGATTCACGGTCTGCCTGGAAAAAAAACAGGAGGGATGACTGTAGCATGGGCTGGTTACCTTTGCTACTTAACTATATAACAGTGCCAGGGACACTGGTTTTGGTGCTTTAAAAATAGGCATCCAGGCTCTCCTGAAGATCCCAACATTAGCATACTCTGCATCCTACATCTGGTGCTGCCCAGTCCTCCTCTGTTGTCTAGATTAAACCAACATGTTATACCCATTCCTCCACTCTGCTATTTAGGCATTCCCTCAAAACCCATCTGTACCTCAGGTTCGCACCCTTGCAGAGCTGATGTCTCTCTCTTTGCCTTATCTACAGGATGGTCTTCAAGGCGGGGACACTGCACAGTCAGCAGGGACTTGGTCAGAGACTCTCTTGGTACTACAGCAGCTCCAAAAGAGTAAGGAAAGGCCAAAGCATGGCATAAAAGCAAGTAGAAAAGTCTAACTTTGCAAGAACTAATCTTCTCACTAGCACAGCTACACATGGGATCAATTCTGCCCATCACGCTTGGTTCACGCATCAGTGACAGCTCCCAGTGCCACAGCTCTTCGCTGGCTTACATTAACAGCTTAACAAGTGCCAAAAAAGAGCAGCAGAGATGTTTGGCTCAAGCACAGTTTCTGCTGAGGCTCTGTGCCTTACCACGTATTTCTGCGTGCACTTCATTCAGAATCATTTAGCGACTCTGCCAGACTCTGGGCGAACTCTCAAGAGCCGTGTGAGCTAGGAAAAAAACCCCACAATAGGAAAAGACATCCCTGGCACATCCAAACAGGCCCAAAGAGAGCTCTTGTACATGTACCACCCACCCCTGCCTTCAGTAAGAGTTGGGCATGGCTGCACAAGGGGCTATACTGGACCTACCCTAGAAGAACATTTCCTATGTATCACTGTCCAAGATGCAGCAGACCACAGGATACCTTATCAAGGCAGCACAGGCTATGAGACAGAGGAAGGACAAATCCTCTGAGAAAAATACTTTGTTACACAGAGAAGAGTTTCAAAGTGTTTACTGCCAAGTACAGAGGATCTTTGGAGGATGAAAAATATCTTCCCACTTTATTCAAGGCCTCTGATTCTGTCATTTCTACAGTTGTCAAATAATTGTATGAAAGCAGTAGGGATCTGTAGAAATTACCCTGTAACCAGCAAGTGCAGATGCAGCAGAGAATATTCACTGTATTTCAAGATCATTGACCCTGCCTATAGGTTATAATATGAGTAAATATACCCCTGCTATACAGTCCTATGGGCTGCTTCACCAGTTCTGCACAAGGCACCCTGCTCTCTACAAAATCCTACGAGGTTCTCCACACAAAAGGTCCTACAGACAGCTTATCAAGAGTACTTGTAATTTCAAAAAGCTCAGAGTATTTTGGAAAGCAAGAAAAGCATAAACTCAAGTACAGAAAACCAAAGAAAAGACCTCATACGGCTATGAACAAACTCCAGTCCCTGAAGGGCTACAAGAAGAGACTAGGCATTTGACAGCCTGGCTTCAGAAGCTGCAGGTACCCACTCCCAGCATCTCTGAGGGAAAGGGATGCTCCCCTTCATCTGAAATATCACCACAGCAAAACACTGCACATCCATTCTCCTGAGAAACCACAACAGCAGCTACCACAGACTTCATTTCACCAACAAGAACAGAGTGGTGCATGCAGATGCATATTTGGTCCTTGCATGGTGAAGCTGGTCCCAGCTCAGGAGCTGAGGAACCCAAGCCCATTCAGCTACATTATTCTGCTAACTGGCGAAGGGGGAGAGACACTGAGAAAACAACAGCAGATAGTTAAAGGAGTAAGTATGTCAAGATCTCTAGAAAGCCAAGGCTTTTTGAGATCCTTACTCGTCACACTTTGAAGAAGCTCAGTAGCGTTGAATTCACTGAGGATTTTTATCACTGCATTTCCCCCCTCAAATTACACCTCAGGTCCCCTGCTCTGCTTAACTTTCATGCCCAATGTGACCCTCTGCTCAGCACAACCTCATCTGACCTGTGCAGCTTGCAGAGTCTATTCCTCAGGCTGAGGATAAGCAGCAACTGCACTGAGCTACTGGTGGGTGACACCAGTGTGGCCATCCAGGCTGTAGCAGCTACAGGGTTGTGACAGGAAAGCGAAAGGGAATGGTGGCCAGCTTGTAATAGCACAAACCATGCCACAGAGCGTTTCATTTCACTGACCTGTTGAATACTTCCGCGTCCTCTCGGAGTCCTTGTACAGGGATCCCATGATATCACCCATGGACCTGGAGATCCTCATTTCGTGCTGTTTGCTGTTGTTTGGCTGGAGAAGCTGTAATCAGACAAAGGGAATATTCAGACTCTGCCAGAACCCTTGCAGACACACCATGTGAAACCCTGTATTTGGCTCCCCATGACTATATTACCCAAGAACCAAAAAAAGCCCCAAACCATCCAACAAAAAAAACCCCATGCATGTAATCTAGGGTGATCCAAAAAAGTCATTCGCAAACACTTCACATCTGTTATTAAAATATTCTCATAAGATAAGATTGAATTCCAGTTGATAATGATAAATACAGATATTTGACATAAAAGACTGTTCCCACACTGGCATTATTTCTAGATATACGCAGAGATTGATCCCTGCCCTGAACCCAAGTTTGCAGTCCCAAAATCACAGCCTCTCCTCCATGATCCCCAAGACTTCAGTGGCAGCCTAGGCACTGCAGAGGTTCCTCTGTAACAGAGGATGGGAACAGCGTGGAGGGCTCTGCTAGGGAAGACAGATATAGGGGAAAGCAAGGAAATGACAATCCAGCTGGTAACTTAGATGGTAGCGGCCAAGTCTTGCTAAGTTAACACACTACTATGCTCTGTGATTTTGTGGTAATTCTATGTATGACCTTGGAAGGTCATACATGGTTAAATGCTTCAGGAAGAGTTGGACCTACTCTCAAAGATATGCATGGCTGCCCCGCTCTTAGTAGCTGACTTGCAATACTGCAACATTCCTGCAGTTGCTAGGGCAGATCACCCCACTTCTGCCCAGGATTTAGGAAACTCCAACTGATGGCTTAGTTGTCTCCTGAGACTGTGGTGCCTGCACCTTTTGAGAGCCTCTCAAAAGGAGCAGAGAAGTTCCAGGCGCTGAGAGCACCAGCAGTAGCATGAGGACAAGCACTACGAGTTTCAAGACTCCCAGCCTCCCTGGTACTTCTAGGAAATACAAGGAAGAAACGGAGTTGCAACATCTGTAAATCCTTTGCTTTACAGCCTGTGCTTGGGGCAGCACGACATGTGCTTTGGCAAGACACTCTGTGCAGGCGAGGTCAAGCTAACAGGCTTAACTGCAAAACCACTGAGCTCAGGAAAAACAAATAAATAAATAATGGGGATAAAAAAAAAAGACAGTCCTACATGAGACTGAAGGATTCACCAGTTTGCTCTCCCTGGCCTTTAGTACTGCAGCACCACATGGAGGGAACTGCCACCCAGCACAGCAAGGGCCAGGGCACCACCCTCTGTATGGAGGACATGCTACAGAGGTGACAACATCCCCAGGCAGAAAGCACAAGGGGTTCTCTTGGGGTTTATCTTTGAGGATCGCTACTGTATTTAACCCTTCACAGGTCGCAGGAAGAGCTAGAGGGAGCTGAGCTCAGTCTCTGGGCCGCCACCACAGGAAGATTTCCAAGCAGCTGAGCCAGAGCAGGGCTGACCCCCCTCATGACCAGCTTGCCCTCTGCTCTGCAACGTCAGGAGAGTCATTTCCACTCCTCAACACAATAACAAGGCATCTCGCTCCAGACACAAAAGAGCGGAGAAGGTGAAGGGCTCACATTCGCTTTCTTTGGAGCGCTCACGAGGATCCGCAGGCTCTTCAGGGAAGGGCTCAGCTCCAACTGTTCCATTGCTTTGTCCAAATCTTCCTGGGATTTCAGTGGGATCAGGAGCTGGAAGGGATTGAACAAACACCGGAGCACGGCAGTGTCACACTTTTGGGTAAACAGAGGAAGCCAGATCCTTGCAGTGAGCAGCTTGGGAATCAAGGAGAGGAGGAACCCGAAAAAGTGGATGGAAAACAGAGCCCCCATGCCCTCCAACTTGCCGAGCTCTAACGTTTTCTTCCAAGTTCTCATCTACCAAGGAACAGACGCAAAAAATCACAACAAAAAACATCTGCAAGGAGAGAGCTTAAAGGTCACATCACCAGTTCAGCTAGCGGGAAGAGGAGAGGGCTGAGACAAAACCTTAGGCTTGCTGCTTGCTACTCTGGGGCTGCTCTGATCTCGGAGTTTGTACACAAGATCTGCTGCTATTCAGCCCCAAACCAGCCCCACATATTCTTCCTGGGAACATGGTCATGCAAGGGTGCTCCAAGAAAGCAGTGAGCTGCACCCAAGGATTTACTCTGGCAGATCCTCAGTGACCTGCCCTACTGCTGCAGCCTGTGCTCCCATGCACCGACCGTCTCCCTAGTGAGGCATCGGGTGAAATCAGGGAACATCTCACAAGTAAGAATCTCTTCCCTTTTGATGTGAAAGGCATGCACTGCTCTCCCTCCAAGAACCACTTCTTTGGCTCCCATCAGGACAAATTCAGCTTCTGCTCTTTGTAAGGTGAACAGAACAGAGAGCTACACAGTGCTGTGTATCAGGCAGCTAAAGGTCCTGATGTTTTCCTGGTAAGTGGCAGACTATTGCCCTCATACCTCCAGAGGGAATTTGAAGCTCCTGACACTGCTGTGTGGTGTACCATGTCCTGTAGACAGCCTGCAAAGCTTCCAATGCCCAACACAGCTGCACTTCAGAGGGGCTCTGTGGCCTTCTGCTGCCCTGGGCTAAGATTAAACACACAACTTTTTGCCCCTCATTCAGGGGCATTCTGCCTAATCTCACAAAAAGCAGTCCTCAGCCTCTGTAGGTTGCCTCGGGCATTGGCACTGAATCCAGCCAACATAACACGTTATACTCACGCCTGTGCCAAAGTACACAGCAGTTCCACCCACCAAAGAGACCAAGTAGCCACAGCTCCCAGTAGGCTCTCACTGGTCTTACTGGGAGCTACAGCTGCCCAGCATTCCTGAAAGGCATCTCAGCCCTCCGGGCGATCAGGGTTCATGCCACCAGCCACAGCAAACACACCTCAGATCAACAGTTCCAGAAGACTACACTCAAAAGCCGCCTGTGTCTACCTTTTTGATCCCAGGGTGTTATCAAGGGTTTGGCTGTTGTCCTGTACATAAATACGCCTCAGACTGTGTGTGCTGAGGCTAGGACTTTGGGGATGACCAGGTCAAGGGAAGGCTGTGGGCCCTGGCCAACAGAGATGAGGTTTCACCTCGGAAAACTGCTACTGGTACCTGAGCCCACCAAGCTCCATCTTAGATGTCTGCATGACTGCTGTTTCTACAGTGTGAACACTTCAAGGTTTGGATTGAGTTTTCCCTCTCCTGTGTGATAGGGAAGGTTACCATATGTCTGCAAAATGCGGATGAAAGAAACATCAGGCTTAACTGAGAAAGCCGAGCTCCTGCAGCTTTGGATAGCAGGTGGTCCTGAGCTTACACCTACCTTAGACACCTAGCTTTAAGATACTAAAAGCCAGGTCTGCAAAGGGGTATTGCAATAGCAAAGTTTAACGCAACCTGCTATTCTGTAGAGTTTATGGTCCCAGATTAGAGACCAGGACCCCTATAACTTGCATGGGAGAGTCAGATATCCAGAAATAGGATTAGCAGGTGAGAAAAAGAAGCTGCCAGGTATAATTGCTGGAGGCAGTGGTAATTGCTGAGGAAAGACAATGCCAGTTCTCAAAAGATATTTAAACAATGAACTCCAGGTTAAGCTAGGAGTGCCCTTCTGGTACCAGGTATGCAAATGTGGTTGAGAAATTTGTACAAAAAACCCAGAGACTTTAGAGCAAAGCATTTAGCACATTCCCCCAGAAAGGGATAATCAGGCTGTGTACTCTTTGTCTGAAAACTAGTTATTTGTTTGTAGGAAGAGGATTCCACAAGGAACTCCTGAGAAAAGCCTTGCCCCAGGCTGTCAAAACTTGGGTTCTCAACCAAACCAGATGGGGAAGAGTTCAGGATGTCCCTTACCTCCCAAGCAAGGGACCTAACCAGCTAAGGGGTTTTACAAAGAACACTAGCACCGGTCTTGTCTGAGCTAGGCTTCACAAGCAAGGCTGGAAACAGATTCCCAGTCTGGGACAGAGCTTGGACAGGAATTAAAGTACTCACCAGGTAGATATCAACTATTCAGGGTTTTCAGTACGCCAGAGTAAAAGGTTAGACTACGGTTCATGGTTAAACCATGGTTCATGGTTAAACTTTGGGATCTGAATGAATCACACACAGTCACAGCAGACACCAGACAAAGATGGTATTGAGTAAGTCCCAAATGCTGTGCAGCTGTCCTCTCAGCCTGCTTCCTTAAGCAGCAGAGCTTAAGGGATATTCTCTTGGTGCACTGCTTAATCCTTTTGAAGTTCACAAGGGCTCCACAGGTGCATCAAGCAGAAAAGCCTTCTCTCCTACACTCACCCAAACAGAAATGAGAATGGTAGAGAGCTGCTCCCCCCCATTTCAACACCAAGCAGAATTTGATTCCGAACCTAGAAGTTCCTACTGCTCACCCATCCTTTTCCTGAGCTCCTCACAAGTGTTCAGAGCTGCAAACCCTCACCTGCTGCTTTGAACAGAATGTTCTGCAGGTCACTCCATCTCACTCCAGTATCACAGCATTAACACGTTTGCATGCCTGCTTCAGAGGAGCCAAAAACATCAGGCAGGAATTGCCCTCCTGTAAAAAGGACTGGAGCCAGTATTTAGCTTGGCTTTACCCATTACCCACATCTGGCAAGTAAATTCTGCTCCATTTGGCTTCCAGACTGTGGCACATGTGGGTATCAGGAACAGATATCTACTAGGCATGAAACTAAATATAGACTCACACAGAACCATGGAAGTAATTGCCAGGGTGCATTTCCAGTAACTGGGCTTATTCTGCCTATGGAGTGAGCAGCCATGATGAACAGCAAAGTTTACCCGCACAGAAGTTTCACTAAACAGAGCTTATTAGATTTTCTTCTTGCCTTTAAATAGCATACTCCCCTGGAGCCTAATGTTTTAATATGGGACTTGGTAGTCAATCCACTGCAGTCTAAGAAAGCGAGTGCAAAGGGTGAGTTTTCACCGACTGCAACAGTATTACTAGACCTCACTCTGTAAGACACTGCAGAAAGCCAAAGAATAGTAGGAAACAGGGTTGGGGAAAAATCTGAGAGGTCAATTAGTTCATCTTCCTGCCCAATGCAGGACCAACTGGCATCAACAATTCTCGACAAATGTTTGTTAGATATGCTTTTGAACACCCCTCCTTCCCACCCCCGTAACAGAGCTTCTACCACTTCCCTAGGCTTTAACTCTCCCTAACCTTCCAAAATGATGCTGAGGGACAGCTTCAGAGGAGACAAGCAAGGGGAGGTCAGAAAGGAACTGGTGGCATGCCGAGGTTCAGTGTTCTGCCCAAGGTCACAAGTTAGTGATGGAGACAGGGCAAACGGCAAGGCAACACAGTCATCACTGGAGCAGCTGTTGAGCAGTGCATACGGGAACAAATTCAGACAGAGTGTTTGCTGGAGAAGCCAGTCTTTCAATCCATACCACAGCCAACTGTCGAACAAACACCATGCCGTGCTGTCCATGGCCAGGCCAGGTTTTGCTGTCCTGCTCATCAGAAAGATGAGCCCAGCCTAGTACTAACGTGCAGACAAGTGGTACACCCATGGCCAGGTTCCGCTCTTATCTATACCAGCCCAAGCCCACTGATTCCATGGTCCCACCAGGATGTGATTCATGCATGCCCCTGCTCCACCCAACTGGCATGCTCATCTCACTGATCTTGGCTTCAGGACTCCTGCTTCACCAGGACAGGGACTGCCATTTAGTGAGCTTTTGCAGGGGCCTGTTGGCCTCAGTGTAATTTTGGTCTACAAGGTAGGTATTATTGCAAGAGAAACATCTGATGGCAAGAAAGAATTACTGCACAGTTCTCTTTGAACATGAAGAAAGAGTGAAACATTTAATTGTAATGATTCTGTGGGCAGGCTATCTCTGAAATTTGCAGTCATGAGACAAAAACCTGACCCAGAACGTGCTATGAGCCAGATGCCAGGGTGTCAGCATGTGGACATGTTGGCTATCTCCCAAAAGGCCACTTTTATCTACTTATAGTGTTTTCACAATAACAGTGAATTACTACTGCTCAGACCTCTTCCCAAAGGTGTGGGATCTCACAAAGAAGAATTTTTATGTACAGAAAACCAAAACACTGAAGGTCCTTCTCAACCCTAAGAAAAGTTTGGGATTACCAAAAGGCCTGCTCACAGTCCTGCTATGTGCTGTACACATGCCCAGGAAGTCTATAACATGGGATAAAATACATTATTTAAGCTTCTGTTTGCTGTTGCTGGAAAAAAATACCTCTTCCAGTGGAAAGAAACTTGGAATGAAATGAGTCATTCCTGGAGAATTCAATGGCAGGCTTCTCCCGGGAGGGCTGTCAGAGAATGCCCAAGATTAGAAACCTGACTGCATTCAAAGCCAAAACCCAGTGGACACTTTGGTATCATGATGTACCTATTATAGAAGAATAGCAACCTTTTTGTGGATCAAATCTCCATTGAAACAGAAGAAAAGAAAAATCACAAGAGACAAAGCTCCCTCTCCATTCATACTTTAATGAACGGCTGTTAATAATTTGCAATTAATAGTTCAACAAGCAAGCTGTCAGGACATCCAAAAGAATTGGTGTTTAAAAGCCTACCTATTTGTCACCCGGCCCTCTCCTCCTTCCCAAAGCCAATCCCACCTTAAGAGTCCAGTGGCTCCAGCTGCCTGCCCACTTCATGGCAAGATGCCTCAAGAAAACACTAAGCACACCAAAACAGATGTCAAGGATTGCACCCATCTAAGTAAAGGCCCTCATCAGTACCCTCCTTTGAGACACAGTGCTGGGCTCAGAAAAAGTTGGAAAACCACAGTGGCCTGTGTTATGAAGAATGTTGGGGTAGAAAGGTCTTCAAGCCTTAAAATGCAAGGATCAGAGAGGGAGGGTTTCTTGGCTGCCTTTACATGACCACAGGACCTGCCAGAGGAACCTACAGTGATACACGTTTCACTGCAGACCTAACCACAAGAACACGTACATGATTTTGGGGTGAAACAAAGTCAGTGATGGATAAAAGTACGCTGTGTTAGCAGCACTGTCCCTCATGCTCTGGAATTCACCATGCTCCTGCAACTGCCTCCAAGACGGAAAGGCTTCGCATCCAAACCAAACACGCAGTAGCCTACAGTGGCTCTCAGGAAAGCCATTTGGTCTCAGCTGTTCTCCTCTCCGCCCTGCGTGAGCTCTCACCAGCCAGACACACTCTGAAGTCAGTCCTATTGCCCCAGGGGTGTTAATGGGAGAGCATCTACTGCTGCTGACTGTGTACTGAACTGACAAGGTCTCTATCGTCTCAGTTACTTAATTCCTCCCCCTGTTTGAGTTAGGGGGATTTCTTGTTCTGAAGGAAAGACAGTGTTCCTGTGCCATCATTTAACAGGCCTTAACTGAAATAATTTTGAGAAGGGGAGAGCCTGGCTTGGAGTCTGAGAACCCCTCTGAACAGTGTCCATACAATAGCTCTTGTATGCTTACCTGCTGGGAACCACAAAGATTATTTTTCCTCATTTCCATGTACAACACTAAATTAGTGCCTAAAGAACAAACTACGGCTCAATTCTGAAGCATGCACCCAGCACCCTAAACCCCTCCCTTACCAATAAGGAGAAAAGTACCTCATTGTTCACACAGACTAAGTCCATCGTCTGTCCAAAAGCATCTGTGACCTTCTGTACCACTTCTTTGAATTTGACTGGTCTTGGAAACTGGATAATCCTGTATTCACAAATACAACAGTAGTCCAAATTTAGTAGAAGCATACTAGAATTTGGGACTAGACTAATAATTCAGAAGCAAGGACCTGGATGCTTCTATCATGAAGCATAAAGCTCTCTCCTTGCTTTTACACTTATAGGAACACTGCTCATCTGCTATGCCCAAGAGGGTCTTGACCTACCCTGCAAGAATATCTACCAAAAATCTTAGTGCAGCTCCTCTGCTCCTCCCCCTGCTGTAAGGTACAGGTGGAAAAGAAGAAAATCCAGCAACCCTTCACTGGGGAAAACCCAGGATCAGGCACTGGTCAGTGATTTATCATCTCCGTTTTCAGCAAGTGGCTCTGAATAGGGAGGAGGGATGGAAGAGAGAATAATGCAGTTTGGCACCCTGTAACCCTCCTGCACCATCACATGCAGCAGCTCTATAAGTACGTATCAGCAGGTACAGTCTACCCCTACGGTGACGTTACTGAAATTTTCTTTGGCTTTAAGATGCAACTTGGACCATCAGCCTGCAAGTTTCCAGCCCTGTGTCCTGCCCCACCACAGTCACCGAGCACCAAGCAGAGGTGATTCCATGAAAATGTCAAGCAGAAAAGGGCGGGCAAGCTTTAACTCTCAGCTCTATTTTTATGGGACCCATGCCCAAAATCTGGTTATCTTAAGTGTCGTAGGCTGCTAATCAAAGGACACATTTCTGTAGAGTTGCAGCTCTGCTGTGGTTCAACAGGGCTTAAGAATTAAAAAGAGAAAAGAATCCAAGTGTGTACCTTATGTCCCTAGTAAAAGACATTTAATAACTTCCAGCTTGGAACCACTTTGCCTGTGTGCAAATCCCAGGAGGTACTTGTGGCAAATGGGATGACGAGGCAAAGCTCTTGCATATAAAACTGTAGTTGATTTTAAGGGAACAAATCCTGCTGTGAGCTCATCTGCAGCTGGCTGCATTCAGTAGGACAACATTGGATAAAAAGGGTAATTTGTCCCTGTACACGTGAGAGACTGGGTTGGGTACATACCTTTTCTCTCCTTCATATTCAAACTTGATCCTGACATTTCGCTGCTGAAAGAAGAAGCAGAAAATGGTTAGGTCCCAAACTGCATCCCAGACTGATGTGCAGGTCCAAAGCCAACAGCAGTTTGCAGGGGGACTCCTCTAACTCCAGTGGGCATCTGGTCTATTTAGGGTCAAGCTGCCTGTGGGACTCATGGACTTTGGGGCAATTCCACATAAATGTGCTTGTCAAAAAATAACATCTTCTATTACCAGAAGGACACTCACTCATCTGTGTAACTGTTAGTTTTAATAAAATGCATTAATAAAAGTGGAAAATTCTGAATGCTCTAAACTCAGTTGGGAACAAGGCACTATTATCAGAGGCAAACATATTAAGTGTTTGATGTCTGTCCATCCTCAGCACTTCCCATGGTTTTACCCCAGTACTTTTCTGTTGAAAACCCAAAAAGCAAAGCTCAGATGACATTTAATAGAACACAGGAATATTTGGGTCAAAGAAATAAGTAGTAAAAGCACAGTCTTGGATTTTAAAAGCCAACAGTGCTGGGGTGGCAGAGGGGGGAGGCTGTTATTTTCTTAGGGCATACAAAAGGCAAAGTATATCAGGCATCACTACACTATACACAGTAAATGCTCACCCTGAACTGACCTGTTGCTCACCTCAGGAGAAATAATTAAATTTGCCCAAAGAGCCAGAAGTCATGGGCAGACTGGGCACACAACTGTGCAGGGATTAGTAAAAGCTACTTCTTGCATCCTCTATTTGCACATATTTAGCAGCGATCGAGACCACAAGGAGACTTTTCATTCATTCAGCTTCTCAGACCGAGCCAAGCATCCCTTTAGCATCCCTTGGCCCATTCCAGGACTTTCCTGTGGTCTCCAAAACAGATCAAAGCCTTCTTTACTTCCCAGACCAGGTTTAGTCACCAGAGTTAACCCCCACTACTGCACACAAGTGTCCTCAAATAGTGGTTTTCTTCCCATGGAGGAAAAAAGTGTTTGCCATGTCCCTCCAAGGTGTAACACCCAGGGAGGGCTCAGTCCCGCGCCAATTGCATCTCAGAGGGATAATCCCTGAAAGGGTGGGTGACAGCCCTTCCTGAGCAAGAGCCTTATCTCTAGCCCTGGCCTGCCAGCGCGTGAAGGCACACTTTCCATCCTCTCAGAGGGAAAGCAGAGCCACAGCGAAACAGCTTTGTCTCTAATGAGGAAAGTGAGCTGGACGGACGTCTGTAGGGTTATTTTTAAACTGACAGCTCCTCGAGTTCTGCAAACACCCATCGAAGTTCAGGAAGTCAAGGCTGGAGACGATTCGATTGAAAAAAAGTTTAAAAACCCCAGCAGATTCCAGGTAAACATGTTGGATCATCTGAAATGCATCCTTTTTATCTCTGCTCATGGCATTTTCTTGTTTTCAGAAAGGCTGGGAAGAACCAGTGCCAGGACAGTCACCAAATGGGGCACTCCAGCAGCGTTACAGGCCTGTGCTAAACAGGCACTTAGATCACCTCAGTGGCTGCAGCCAGTTCTCCAGACCCAAAATGTTTGGACAAACTCCAGATTCGCTTCTAGAACCAGGCCCAACCTGTAAAAATACTAAACTAACTCTAAAGCAGTCCAAAATTCAAAAGAAGAGATGACCGTAACTAACCTAATGTTGGAGGTCCAAATTGTTCTAGAGAGACAGGCAAACACAGGTGAGATTGCCAACATCTCTGTTGAAAAAGAAAAAAGATACGGGCTGGTTTATGCCAATTTTTATTTGCATGTGCCTCTCTGAACAGGGCCTGGCTGGTTCATCCCTCCTGGATGCTGGCTGTAAATCAGCTGGTGTGGGTTCACTGCATGTAGCTCCGCAAAGCCCTTCTCTAAAGTAAGAGGAAAAAAAAAAAAATCACGGCAAGGAACTTTCAAGGTTTCTCCTTATACAGGAGCAGGACATGTAAAGGGAAAAGCTCACGCAGCTCTGGCCTTGCTGCAGGAAGCCGTTCAAAACACAGGTTTCACTTTCAGTGCAGACATGAATGCTGCGCTGAGCTGAGACATAGCATGCGCTGCCTGTTTATGCTGAACAACACAAATTTGGCAGAAAAATAAGCTTCAAAAAACCAGCTTGAGGCTGGAAAATGTCAAAACATTCATATAAAGCTCCAGAGAGAAGAAAAGGGGGAAAAAAAGTTTTAAAAAAAAGAGCCACGACCCTGATGCATCCTTTTCTTCTACGTCAACAACAGGGCTGATGTGCTATGGCCCGAAGCCAGCAGAAGCAAGCCAGCTGCCCCACACTGCTCCACTCTGCTTCTGAGCAGAGCAAACACACTGGCTGCAATAGGGGAATGAAAACCCACTTCATTTGTTAATTAGATTATTTTTTTTTCTTCTGGTATAAAACACACTAACCTCTCACCTTCCTCAAAGAAACCAAGACCATAAGCTTGCAAGTGGTTGGAATAGGGATAAACACAAATTTATCTACAGCCCGAGAAGTTGGTTACAGTTTTATTTTGCAGTCTTCCCTTGGCTTACTCGTGTTTTTGACCCACAGCTAAAGCTGAATTCATTGCTGCTATCAGCGACAAATACTTTTTTTTCCTTTAAAAAAAAAAATAAAAATGGGCAGTGCCCAAAGCACTAGGAAGTCCCAAGGGGATGCAAAGCACTTCCTAAATGCCGGGAGCAGGCTGTGATTTTTTACACCCATGGAAATCTGGTTTGGAGCAACTGGTTTGAGATTACACAGGGAGTCTGGGGCACTGCCAAGTGCTGGAGCAAAAGCTCACGCAAGTCTGCACCCAGCACCTCAAACGCGCGATTGAGGGGAAGGCAGGATCAGCATCTTCTCCATAAGGACCTCAACACAACATGCAAATGCTTGAGGGCAGGTTGTGGAAGAGGTGGAGGAAGCTGCCAGGTCCTACTCACTTTTGCAATTCTGTGAGGAATGAAGACAACAGTGACTCCTCCTTGCACAATCCCCGCCATGCTATTTACCCTCCCTGCCATCAGATGTCAAACAAAGTTAATGGCAGCTTTATTCTCCCCACAGTCAAGAGGTCATTAATTGGTGTAGGAGAACAAGCTGAGAAGGAAGGGCATGTGTTAAATACAGTGGAGGAGAGGGTAAGGCCGTGTGTAAGGCACCAGCCTTAAACACTGAGCTCTGGCAGAGGATTTCATGGACTGTTTCATAGAGCACTGTGAAAGCTGAGGCAGGTAACAGAACAAGCAGGAGAAACTGAGGCACAAGGTGCTTTTCCTAAGGGTGTGAAGGAAAAGCCCAGTCCTGGGGAAGGGAAGTCTCCCAGGAGACCTTATTGCAGCCTTTCATTATATGAAGAGGGGCTTTATAAGATGGAGAGAGACTTTTTCCAGGTCCTGTGGTGCCAGGACAAAGGGCAACAGTTTTAAACTGGAAGAGGGTAGATTTAGATTGGATCTAAGGAGGAAATTTTTTATGATGAGGGTGGTGAAACACTAGAACAGGTTGCCCGGAGAAGTTGTGGATGCCCCATCCCTGGAAACATTCAAGGCCAGGTTGGATGGGGCTTTGAGCAACCTGGTCTAGTAGAATATGTCCCTGCCCATGGCAGACGGGTTGTACTGAATGATCTTTAAAGGTCCCATCCAACCCAAATCATTCTGAGATTCATGCTAGGAAGCAGAGTGGCAGAACCAAGCACAAAATGTAGATGTTCGATCTCCGGGTCGTATGTACTGAGCAACTTTCCCCCCCTCCACGTGTGTTTCCGTACAACGTGGGGCACAGAGGAGCCCACGTCTCGGCTGGCGCCTGTAGGCCCTGCTGCGACACAAACAAAATAAGCGACAACCCTGACAGGAAATACCACAATAATTCCCTTCGTTTCTGGAATAATTTCTTCTCCAAGATACTCGTACCGGCATTTCCTCCAGCCCTGCTAACAAACAGTATTTTATTCTTTCTTGCCATCTGCCTCAGAAAGGAAAAAGCAAAGCCACTGCCGTGGCCACTAACCCATCACCATCTTTCCAGGCTTTCCTTGAGGTATTTTTAGCTCCTTCCTCAAAACTTCTAATTTCATGAAAAGACCACAACTGCCGAGGTTCAGAGGAAGTGGCTGATGGGAATCGGATGGGGGGGGGAGAATTGAGCTGAAGCAAGCAGCCCTGCACACTGGTTTAGATTAAGCAAAACATTGGAAAAAAATGGAAAAAAGTGTTTCCAACCGAGGTGAATCATGATCTTATACAGAGATCCCTGAAGAGCTGACTGCTGTTTGTAATAAAAGCACACACGAAGAGCAGGAAAACACGCTGTTAGGCCTAAAATGGAAGTGGCTTCAGAGGAACGGGAGGTGCTGAGCACCCAGAGGGTCGATCAGATCAGAGCCACGAAGCCCAAGCTGATCAATACCATGCCCATGTAGAAGGGACCCAGCAGAGGAGACAGCCCCACACCTCCACGTCTGTCTGTCTGGCACCAAGAGCCAAAGCACCCAAAACTGCCACGCTGTAAAATCATGGAGGAGCACCAAATTCAAAGACCCACCCCTCCATCATGTCCTCTCCTCCTCCCAAATTGAGCCGCCATCAGAAACAGCGTTCTGGTCGGACCCCACCTCTGTGGCTTGCTTTTAAAGCTGCTTTTGTCAAATCTAACCAGCAGACAGCTTTGCCCATGCTGAGACACCACAAGGACAGAGCCTTTGGATCACTCCTTCCAACCAAATCCATGGTTGCCTCACAAACCATGTGGGACAAAGCCTCCAACTCCAGCATTAACCCTTCCAAGAAAGGCAGGAAAAATAATCACAAGGGGCCTCCCCTTCCCTTCAGTGCTGCTCCAAGAGGGGCTCATTCCAGCTTTGCTCTTACCCACCCATGCACTTTGCCTCAGTTTCCCCCTTGGGTAAAATAGGGGTAAGGAAGGGGACCCATTTCTGCATGCTGGAGGGTAAGCAGAGGAATTATATTCACTTTTTTATATTCATTTATATTTTATATTCTTTTTTTTTTTACTTGTTGGATTAGGAAACCATGAGAAAACCCCGCAGAGCGGTGCGGCGTTCAAGCATGACTGCTCTAGTTACTCCTTTGTACAATGCCACAAAGCGGTGGGATTTCTCCTCAGCTTCTGGCTTCGGCCAAGAGAAATCAGCACCGCAGGGCCAAGCTGAGGGGACTTCTGCACCTCCCCAGCATGCACATTGTTTGCATTAGTCCTGTGCTCGCCCCTGCTTTTAGCAACAGGACGTTCATCACAAGCCAGACAGCTGGACCGCGTCCCCAAACCGCAATAGGAGATGACTAATCCGCGTCATTAGGAATTATCTGCACAGAACCCCCACGCGCTTCGGGTTATTCAGCAATCAGACAGAAAGGAGTTTGTCTGGGATTGCCCCCTTCTCCTCTCAGGGGGAGGAAGCTACAGGATAGCCTGGTCCCCCTGGATCCTTACAGCTCTTTTCCCCAAAAAAAGCAAGCCCAGCACGTGAGCAGCTCAGAGGCCAGTGGAAAGATGATGTCTAAAGGGTTCATTGCTGCCTGTTACAGATATTTTTGGTTTATACAGCAGCAGAAATCACAGGTTTCAAAATGTTTATCCAAAACCACCTACCTGGCAGGGAATAGCTTTTTTTTTTTTTCCAGCTGGATTTCTGCTTGGTATTACCCTCTTAGCACCCAAGTCAGCTCCACATACAGACAAGGGAAAGCCTTTTCCCCAAACCCTTGGGTTTCCACTGCCTTTGCCATCTCCAGCCAAGCCTTTCGAACCGGTGCTGCTGCACGCTTGGTCCCTTGCTTCTGCCCCCCAGGTGGACCAATCCCTGCAGATCTCCTCATAGAGACTCCCATCTTTGAGGTGATATTTATGGATCCTCATATTTCCCAACAGTAAAACAGAGGCGATAAAGCCAAACTCCTTTTAGGCTGCTTGAAGGCCTACAAACAGAGAGCCCTAGAACATGAGCTGTATTTTATTCTAGTTATGAGCAAGCCTTTATCCTGCATCCAACTTGCCAAGGAAAAGAGAGTCTGGAGGTCATTTACTAAAGGAACTTTCAGGTCTTTTAGGTTTTTACCTTTTTTTTTTGGCAATTTAGTAAAAGAACTTTCAGGTCAGTCTGACATTTGTTGTGCATGGGAAAACGCTCCTCGCAAGTACTGGACTTCATTGCCATGGGAGAACTTGCAATCAAAATTAACGTGGCGGAGGAATTGTTAGCTGTCATCAGCTGTGACTGAGGCCCCCAACAACACCGTGTCATTAGACCAAAGCGCAGTGCTGACAACCAACTTCATATTGCAGGTTACCAAGTGCTATTTATATAAATAAATGGATGTGCACAGAAATAGATGCAAAATAAATGTTAATACAATTGCTCCTTTCTCCTCCATGCTTTTGTTTGGGATTTCTAATTCTTTGTGGTTTCCCTTCTTATCCCACTCATCTTTTTCCTTAGTGATCACAATGCAGATCTTTATTCTGCTGTTTCCTCCTTCCCCTCTTCAGAGCCACTGCTATAAACAAACTCCTTTGCCTGTTCAGTCCAGGAGATTGCCTGAAAGGGCTCCTTCCAGCCATGCCAGAGGATGCATGAGGAATAATGGAATGATAAAAGGAATAGCTTGAGGAATAATAGTGCAGAGGATGCACTGGAATAATGTCAGGATGATCCCTCTGTTCCCAAAGATTTTAACTTACACGCAGAAGGAATAGGGTGTTCATCTCTATCCCTCCACCCTGTTTTCTCACGAAGCAGAAAGGCAGCGTAACGTAGTGACTGACACACCTGACCAGGACTCAGATTTGAGCTCAGCCATCACGTCTGCTGCTGGCTGCCTGGGCAACCTAAAGGAGGAAACTCATCCGCATCGTGCATCAAGGATTGCTGCTCTCATTTCCAGCTTGTTCTACCATGAGGCATTAGACACCCAGAAACTCAGCTTTAGCCCTAAACTCATCTGTCAGGAAAGCAAGCTAAGAAAAGAAAGATTTATTTTTTTTTTTAAACACACTTTGCCAAAGGATGTTCATTTCCTAAGATGATTCGAAGCAAAACTGTCGATACTTTTGGGAAGAAATATTGTGCAGCACACACCACCATGGACTACTTCTTTGTGTGGCCCAGGCCTACCAGGAATACCATCTGGCGCGCTCCAAATTCCAATTTCTATCAAGAGAGCACTGAGGAACCCCTCCAGGAGACAGGGATGAGATAGCACTCCAGTTGTATTTCTCTCTGCACCAAAAAGCTGCTGCGAGCCACAAAGGGACAGGCTAGTTAGTCAACACATTCTTATTGAAAGTGTTTTTCAGTGGAAGTTTGGAACACTGACTAAAAGATTCTCATGCCTCAGAAAAGCATTTCCCCCCCTCCCCGAAAAAGATTTTTTTGGTTTTTTTTTAATCTAACAACTGAACATCCAGACCAAAGTATTTCAGTGTGAGCATATTGCTGCAGGGCCTCCCAAGAGACACCTACAATGAGATTCCCAAGAGAATTTAGCATCCAAACGCCCCATGCCTCACTCTCCCTCTGCAAGAAGGGAGGCTGTGCAGTGCATCCTTCAGCCCGACCAGCCAACCCGATCACAGAAAAAAAATAAGAAAAAAACCAAGGGAACACCAAGTACCAAGGGAACAACAAATCACAGGCATGACAACAGCATTTCCAAAGCAGTCTTCCCCCCCATCAATTTCTGTGCTAAAAAACAAGAAAAAACCCCTAAAAGTGACCCAAACAAATCAATTAAAAGTTTGAGCTGCAAACATGAACCAAGTCCACACTAATTCCACCTACTTTGGCCACTCCCCACTTCACAGACTAGACGCCCGTCGTCCCACGAGCCAGACTTGTTCCAGCTAGTCCAATTTAGTGAAGCAACAATTCAACATACTCCAACGCCCTTCATCTCATGGGGCCTGTTGGTCTGAATCCTCAACCCTGGATGCAAGAGAAGAGTGGGATGCTGGCTGTTTGCATCTCCCCCATCAGAGAGCTCTGAGTAACAATAAGCACACAGCTACGGCTGGTCCGCTTATGGATAAAAAGAAAAATCATAGAAGGAGGCCATGTTTTTGCAAACATCTATACTATAATTGGGAAGTTGGATTTCTAATATGATAAAATTAAATGCAAGTGGCAGCCAACAATTCTAAAGCTGCTATCAGAGCACAGCATAGTTCTGTTGGTGATTTATAAACGAAGATACAGAGTGGATGGGCTGGGGATACAAATTTGATTGCAAGACTTCAACTTTATGAAATTTTTGTAGATAAGAATTTAGCCAGTGAAAACTATTATTTTCAACTAATTATCTGGTTAACTGTGTATCTGTCTACAGCGTTTACAGCAACACATTTCAAAAATGACAGCAGGGATTTTCCCCCATTGTAAGAAAACAAGTATGTTATTTTAAGATAAGTCTAAAAAGCTTTGCTATCCTGAAGGCAACCCGAGATGTCTTGGTATGGTCCCCACCCACCAACTTGCAGAAAACGCTGCCCTCGGAGCCATCCAAAGCTGCGCTGGATTGTCTGCTTTGCCTGCAGCTGCAAAGAGCCAGCTCTGAATTTCTCCCATCAATTTTGTAAACATCTTGGACTTCTTTCAGCATGAGCTGAACACACATCCAGTGATTCAACTTGGACAGCTGCTACCACCAGGACACACTTTAAAACAGACATGCTACGTGCGCACTTTTCCCCTCTGCATCCAGAGTTCTTTGTTAGTAGCACAAGTGCCATTAAAATATGCATGACGACAGTAAATGACAATTTGGTTTCTTCCTTGCAAGGCATTCAGCAATTGCAAAGTTGACTGCAAGCTTATTCTAAGCCATAGCACTAGAAGCGCAATTCCAAGTGGATTTGCTCACATGCTTCTCCAGCAGCTTCCCGGTCCTCTTAATTATTTTTTCCCATTTTTTTTTCTTGCTATTTTGACAACTGAATTCTTTCTTCACAACTTTCATGTTCACATAATATTTGTTCCATATGCAAACAGGCTATTAAATTCACTTTAGCTATTGTATCAATGTCAGCAAATAATTTCTGACATTGCTCACCAAATCAACCCTGAACACACAATAGGGCCAAAACGTTTGGTTTTAAGAGCATAAACACCAGTAATTAATATTTAAACACTTTATCTAAGAATGACATTATTCTTCCCTAAAGAGCCTGGGTGTCTACAGCTCAAAGTTGGCAGTCTGTCTTTCAAATATCTCAAGTAAAATGCGCACATGATAAATATTGTATTTCATCAATGCTGTCAACAGAAAACATTTGACTAATCCAAATCTTAAAGCTGCGTAGCCTGTAACAAGTTCTACTATGTTCAGTGCTAAGCAAGAGAAAGAAGTGCCTTGGGGTGCGATTTAAGATTTAAAACTAGTTTCAGGCTCTCTTGCTATATTTGAGAATGATTTGGGGGTATCACTCTTCTCTGTTCCTCCATTGCTTCTCTGCGATACAGGGATGCCTGTAGCTTTATTTCAGCTCTTCAAAAAAAGAGACCCAAAAGCTTATGCCTCAGTAAAATTATGTTATTTCTGATGTTTAATTTGTTAACTTCAGTTCTAACATTTCAACGCTATTCTCCCAGCATGGCAAGCACCATGCCCACCTCTTTGGACTACTGGAATTTGGGGTGGACTCAAGTAATGCCTTACCTGTTTGCTGGAGTGGACACTGTTTTTATTCCTGTTGTTGTCCAGCAGCCCCCCACATTTGCCCAACGCTGCCAAATCCTTCATAATAGAGTTCAGAGCTTCTTCTTCATCTGCAAAAGAAAGACAGACAACTGAAGTGTGGAAGGTAACCAGACTCCTGGAAGTGCAGAGTGAAAATACAGCATTGCAAATACAATCTTTCAACCCAAATGGGTCAAAAGATACAACATTTAGCCTTCCTATTAAGAGAGGCATTCAAAGACTACACCACAGTCCCTCCCAGCCCATCGCATCTTGGAAATACAGGTCTCCATCACAGGTGAGACAGATCCTCAGAAAAGCCAGTGGCTGAGCGTGGGTGACCACTGCTCCTCCAGCTCATAGCCCATGTCTGCTGCCCCCAGCGCCCTTTGGAGAGGGACCCATGGGCCTGATTTACTGTCCAGGGGGGCTGGATCCAGTTTGTGAGATATAAGGTGGTGCTCTACAGGACAGAAGCCTTTCAAGACCCAGACATCTCACGCAGCAGGTGATGGAGTACAACGCAGTTCACCTCCTCCTTTCCTCCCTCTTCATTAAAGATGCTCAAGAGCCACAAGTGATTTTTCAAAACTAGAGACAGTGAGAAACCATGGGAAAGGGCAAGAAACTCATTAGAAGAGGTAAATTCAACCACGCTGGATAGAAGAGACACACACTGAGAACCTGTATGGTATTTCTGATTTCTGCAATGACTAGAGAACTTTGAAGGACCCATTTGATCTGAAACCAATCTTCTCCCTTTCAACACTTTTACAGCTACAGGTGTGGTCTTGTAAAACAGCTATAAACTATTACACACACAGAATCACACAGAATCGCAAGGGTTGGAAAGGACCTCGGGAGATCATCTAGTCCAACCCCCCTGCTAGAGCAGGCTCTCCTAGAGCAATCTACACAGGACTTCATCCAGGCAGGCTTTGAATATCTCTAGAGAAGGAGACTCCACAACCTCCCTGGGCAGCCTGTTCCAGTGCTCCGTCACCCTTAGAGTAAAGAAGTTTTTCCTCATATTCAACTGAAACCTCTTATGTTTCAATTTGCACCCATTGCCTCTAGTCCTGTCGCTGGACACCACTGCAAACAGACTGCTTCCATCCTCATGACTTCCGCCCTTAAGATATTTGTACGTGTTGATAAGGTCCCCTCTCAGTCTTCTCTTCTTCAGGCTGAACAAGCCCAACTCTCTCAGCCTTTTCTCGTAGGGGAGGTGCTCCAGTCCCTTTATCACCCAGCGCTCTCAGCCTTTTCTCGTAGGGGAGGTGCTCCAGTCCCTTTATCATCCTAGTTGCCCTCCTCTGGACTCTTTCTAGCAGTTCCTCATCTTTCTTGAACTGGGGAGCCCAGAACTGGACACAGTACTCCAGGTGGGGTCTCACCAGGGCAGAGTAGAGGGGGAGGAGAACCTCCCTCGACCTGCTGGCCACACTCCTCTTAATACACCCCAGGATACCACTGGCCTTCTTGGCAACAAGGGCACCCTGCTGGCTCATGGTCAGCTTGTCATCCACCAGGACTCCCAGGTCCCTCTCAGCAGAGCTGCTTTCCAGCAGGTCAGCCCCCAGCCTGTACTGGTGCATGGGGTTTGACCTCCCCAGGTGCAGCATTTGACACTTGCCCTTTTGCGACTTACATTGCAAAATACCAACCACGAGCACTAAAAACCCTGTCAGGACGTAGGGCATGGTATACTTGTTAGGAGGGTGCAAGAACCTGCTGCACGTTCATGACACAGTCAAGACAGGCAGGTATTAGGCACATGTGGTTATTACTGTAAAAATACAAATACAGCTACTGCATTTTGTGTAAAGCCGAGCATCTCCAAGGACAAAGCCACCCGTACACCGAGGTAGCCTACAGATTTAACTCAAAGTCTACAAAGATGTGAAAGGTGACAAAAATGATACGAAATCAGCCAGGACTAGACCCAAATACTGAATTTCTGTCCCCAGGGAGGTATATGTCCTGGATCTGCATGCTCAGATACAACATCATCTCCTCTTTTCCCCGCTCCTCCTGCTGCGTTGTATCAGGACTGAAGCTGTGAAAAAAAGAAGTGAGAAAAAGACTTCTCGTGCGTGCTGCACAGCCAGAGCCATCTCATTAAAGAAATAAGGGGAAAAACCCAGGAAAATCCAGCATCACTCACTTATTTTAGAGCTCAGAAATGAGGTCAGATATTAGGAAAATGCCTACATTTTCCTGTAGGCAATGTATTTGTATTTAAAATATAATATAAATATATCAATAATAAATATGTAATTAATAAAATAGAATTCCTATTGAAGTACATTAAAGTGCAATTCCTCTTTCTTTCCACACTTCCCTACCCACTCAAAACACAGGTATGTTTTTCCAGAGGGGTGGCAGGGCATGTAACCTGAAGTGTTACAAGAAAACACACAATAAAAAGATAACTTTCAGTTCTAGTTCAGAAAAAAAACAAAACAAAAAAACAAAACAAGAAGAATGTTCCCATAGCTTGGGGTTGGCTTTTTTTTTGTTAAAAGGGATCTCTGGGGACAAGCATAGTTTTCCAGACAGTAGGAAACAGTTTTCTAGTAGTAGGAAAAAAAAACAACACAAAAAAGAAAAAAAAAGAACACAAGCTTTTTGTGGAGGGGAAAGGGGGGAGGGACAAGTTAAAGCCCACAAAACCAAACACCCCCCCCACCATCCTCCAGGAATTTTCCACCAAAGCTATGATCACTGAAATGCCCCTCACCCCTTTCTTTTTTCCAACCCGAGCAACAACAAAGCTTTCCTGAACTCACTGCCACAAAACGCAGTCCCTTGTGTCCTGGGGAAACAGGGCTTCAACAGGCAGTGGCAGAGCCGGGCTGTTGCTAGCAAAACCACCCGATTCACCACCGCTCTCCCACCTCCAAACCTCCCTGGCCATATCTGGCAGCATAGAATCATAGAATTGTTTAGGTTGGAAAAGACCTTTAAGACCATCAAGCCTAACCGTTCCCCTAACCCTGCCATCCCACCACTAAACCATGTGCCTAAGCATCTCGTCTGCCCGCCTTTTAAATACCTCCAGGGATGGGGACTTGACCCCTTCCCTGGGCAGCCATTCCAGTGCTTGACAACCTTTTCTGTGAAGAAATTTTTCCTAATGTCCAACCTAAACCTGCCCTGGCACAACGTGAGGCCGTTTCCCCTCATCCTATCACCCGTTACCAGGGAGAAAAGAGACCAACCCCCACCTCACTGTCCCCTCCTGTCAGGCAGTTGTAGAGGGTGACCAGGTCTATAACTGCCAGGAGATGCATCTCTGGTTAACCCACCAGTGCCTGGCAAGGATATTCCAGGACTTATAAGAGTCAGCACTGTCTGTCCCAAGGAGGGACAGCAGGGTTTGCTGGAGATCAATGGTAATAATAATAAAAATAGAATAATAAACAGGGACAGAATAACTTCCAAGTTTTCTGGAGTGACCATCAGCTGCTCCTGCCATTCCCCCCTAAGAGAAAGACCTGGCAGCCCCCAAGAGCTGACCCGCACCCCCCAGAGACCACATTCCAGATTGCTCCCACCACAGCTTGTGGGTACCCATGAGGATTAACCACGCAGCCGAGAGCAATAGCATGAACTATGCTTTTGCTAGGATGTCTGATGAGCACATGGCATCAGGGAAGACATTGAGAAAGAGAGATCTTCGAGCTGAAGCTGATCCTATCACCATTACCACTAGAGATGAGTGTTCCAGGTCACTGCTTCGGTGTTATTCCCAGAGGATAGGGTACTCTGTCCCTCATTCATACTGTAGTCACTAGACATGACAACATAATTTCACTATAAGGAAGCTAGAAGTGAGTAATCTGCAAAATACAGAGACTGCAATTGAAAGTCACCTCTGCAGGGTGTACAGAAATGCTGGATGTCCTTGCTGCCTGGACTACCACATGGGGCTTACACTGGCCACCAAGTCTGGGTATTCAAACCAACTTGTGACAAGTTGTTTACTGATTGAGAAAGCAAAGGCAGCCAATTTCCCAGCCTTGCGTCTTCTTAAACACCAAGGGGTTTCCAATGTCCAGGAAAGCCTGGGTTTATATTACATTGCCCTCAAAGCAATAATTGAGTCTTCCTCCTCTACCTACCCATCAATTTTGTCAAAACTGTTTGCAATGCAGTCTTCTGATTCCATCAAATACAGGTTTAAAAATTCCTGGTGCTAGAACCCCATCTGCATGACTGTGAAAGTCGCATTTCCTTAGGAAGTCAGGCTGCATGTCTCTGCCAGAAGCATCCTTCTGCATCTCTCTCAACACAGCAAAGCAAGAAGCATTCACTTAAATTTAGCCTGTTTTCAGAAATACCCAACCACCAACTTAATCAGCCTAGAATCAGTGGTGTAAAACTGGGCCCTAGCTGTCCTGAGTCAGGTGCTAGAAGAAAAAAAAAAAGAAGATATTTCTAATATTTAGGCTGTCAACTCAGCATCTTTGTTCCTCCGTCTACTAAAAAGCCTATGCCAAAGAGAATTTGAAGAGCATTTGAGATTTTTTTTTTTTTTATTATAAAACATGACTGTTACATGTCAAAAACCCAAAATACACGTCCATGCCATCACTGCTACAAAATAAGTTAAGAAAACTTCTTCCTATATGAACAGAAAAGGTTGTTTTCTGCTGCTGGAGCGTGAAAGAACACAACTTAAGCACAAGCAGAAATACGTTATTTCCTTGAAGTAATGTGTTTCTATGTGCTTAAGAAGCTTTTTAACTACTTTTAACAGTGTGTTTTTAGTCCAAGAGAACTGCAGTTTCACAGGGACTATGACCGAAGCCTCAACTGTTCAAAACAAAGAGGAAAAAATCCCACACCATGCTCTGAAGCAATTTCAGAGCAGGAGCTTCAGTTTGCATCACTGGTTGCAAAACTGACACTTCCCAGTCCTCTCTATGACAGCTTTGCACAGGAACTGATGCTTTCCAGACTAAGCCTCTTGCCCATCCTAATTACTGCTCTTGGGGTCTCCAAGCTGACTCCCAAGAAGGGTGGAGAACTTTGTTCCATGGAAACAAGCAGCCAGCTCAGCCAGTTCAGTCAAAATTCAAAC